TGTAAGTGGCCACTGATGCACACAGTGTGGCTTCAAAGCTCCTTCCTCCTTAAGTAGTAGTATTAAATTTAACTTTAAAAATGAATGTGAATTAAGCTATTTCAAGTCTAGCCAGTGCCTCTGACAGGCTATATGATTTGCATTACCTTGTTTTGTTTTTAAATACTTACCTTCTGGGGGAATTCCCTGTGAAACATGAACTGAAATGAAAACTCAAGAGGAAAACTTATGGCAAACATCTGCCATGCGCCAGGCAGATTCTTCAGTAAGATGAGTCTTTTGTTTTGTACCTCAATACCCTCCTTCCTCTGAGAATTTTAAACCAGGAAGAAAAGGAACAGGTCTACAACTTGGCCATAGGAAGTACAACCAACCTCCCTTTCTCTCGGCTTCCTGTCTTTATATGAGACAAATGGTACCCATCACCCTTTGAAAAGTGGATTACAACCTGTAGAAGAGCAACTGGTGTTGGTGTTCCACAAATACAGGATCTGGTCTTCACCTGTCCCCTCAACTATGTGCCTAAGGAGAAATTGAACTCCAGAGGAAGAACGCAGTGTTGAATGTATTGCACTGAAAACGAGTCACAACAGTTTTGTTTCGCAGCTGTGATTACCTTCTTATACAGCATTACTGTAAACAGTAAAGAAAAAGTTGTACAAGACCCAGATAACACCAAAGAGCAAAGTCATTAGTAATTCAAAAGCAGTTCAAGGAAGCTTCACAGAAGAGGAAGAGCACAACCAACTAGCTTCGGATACAAAAGTAGCATTCTGTGAATACCCTAACAACAAATAAGCTTCAGTGAGGATTTTCACTGCATGAAGGAAAGAACGCTTCCACTTTCGCATGATGAGATAAAGCCCATGAATATTCAGAAACACTGACTCCTTCAAAGACAGATGATATACCTTCTACAGTTCAAGGACGTCGATAACATGTCTGGATTCAAGAAACTGAGATTTAAAAAAAAAAAAAAAAAGCACGCATAATCTGATACACAGCATGCTGTCCAGCAGTTATTACTGAAAAAAAAAAAGAAAAGATTTAAACTCTTCAAGCACTTCACAATTTTTCTACCCCAACCATAGCTCAGTATTTTATCAAACAAGAACCAAGAAGCAACTTTCTAACTTGTATACTTACGAATACATATTAATTAATTATTAATTAAGCCCCCATCTCCAACACAGCTAAAGTTAGAATGGCCTCCTCTTTTCCAGTTCTCGTACATTTTCACAGGGAATCCAAGAAGCCCACAGCTTTCCTTGGAGCACTAACAAACAATTATTGGACAAGTTGGTGATTTCTGTAACTGTGTTCCGTGTGGCTACAATTTTCCCACACGAAACTTGTTCAGTTTAGTTACAAATGAACAATTAAATAACTGCTAGAATTCATGATGCCTCAGAGAATCTTGCTGAAAAAAAAAAAATAATAATCAAGGAATTATGTCAGTTGCTGTCCTTAAAACTAACTCAACAACTTAAAGCTCATCCATAGTATTTTAGTCTTCCTTCACAGCAAATGCTATTATAGATTGGAAAAATAGCAGTAAAGACCTGTTCCTAATGTAAGAATCTATTTTCTCATGTATCCTTCAGGAGAAATGTCTTACTTCGAGTCATCTCTGGTATATGCTGTCTGTGGGACCATGCTACTGTAGGAGAAGGTGTAGCAAGCAACTGAGTTAGAAACTACCATCTAGGCAGACATTAGAACAAAACAATGCCAGACATATCCCAAATTAATACTCATATTATATCCATTTATAAGGAATATTCAGATTTCACAATGACTCTCAGAATAGTAAGTGTCGTGCCTATTTGAGTGATGACTGATTTTTTTTTCCTCCTACTTGCATTTCATTTCCAACTTGCATCTTTCATCTTCACTGTATTTTTCGTCTTTTTCTAAAGAACTCAAAAGCCTGGTTTATCCTCTCATAACACTTGCCAGCATAGAGAAATTAGGACCATTGGGTCCCATTTGTTTCACCTTCTTTCCCCCCCTCCCTTCTCTGAACACATTCAGCTATTCATTTTTGCATTTAACTATAGTGGCTTGCCTTAAATAAACATTTCAAAATCTGAGAATAAACTCACTATATTCTAAACAAACAAAAATCATTATCATTAGTATATGTGTTTTCTGTGAAGGCAACAGGAATAAGAAAGAGGTTATTTGCATAGGATAAGAGACCTGGGAGGGGGGGGATGTAACTTGAACTCCAGCAAAGCAGGAATAACGTGGGAGTAAGAAATTTAAACCAGAGTCAGTAGGTGTAAACTAATCATTAAAACTGCTTTTTAGGTATCCAGTCTTTGCATGTACCATCATGTTTACATGAGTTAAAGAACACATACGGCATATTGTAGTAAGAAGGGAAAGGCTTTACAGATTCATGACCATTGGGGTTGTGTCACCTTGCCATTATAGGAATTCGAGAGTAACTCATTAAAAAAAAAATCTCACACTTTTTGCAGGTTTTGTCCTGGTTATTGGATTGGTGACTTTCTACCGCATTGGACCGTACACCAACCTCTCGTGGTCTTGTTACCTGAACATCGGAGCCTGTCTTTTGGCCACACTGGCAGCTGCCATCCTCATATGGAACATCCTTCATAGGCGTGAGGACTGCATGGCACCACGGGTCATTGTCATTAGCCGTACCCTGACGGCTCGGTTTCGCCGTGGCCTGGAAAATGACTATGTCGAGTCACCATGCTGAAAGCATGGACTTGGAACAGGGAAGATCTCCAAGGAGATCTGTATTGGTGTTTTCTATAAATATATGCTATAATTTAAAAGTAAGGGTTGAAGGACATCACAAAGCTCACTCTTGTGGGCAGAGGCCCTCAATTACTATTTGGATGGGCTCCATCTATATATATATGTATAAAACATATAATTTTATATATATTATATTGCCCTCTTCATCTGCTGTACAGCACAGAATTGGATTGTCAGAATCCTGACAGCATCACAGCTACATGTCAGCAGGGTTCAGCTGTAGCAGACAGCGTATGCAATAAGACAATAAAAAGAGGCAACCTAACATTTTCTGTCTGGATAAAGTTATCTTGCTCCCTTAATGATATAAAAAATTATGGGAGACCAGTGACAATCAGTCACTTTGGAGTTAACAGGCAACCTGAGAAAGCAGAAAACTCACTGTAGAATAAGTGACAATTTTTAACAGCTGTCTACATTTCTTGGCTCTTTATAGTCTTCTATCCCATTCACCCACCCTTCTTCAAGGAACTTCTCATCAACTGTAACACCTGCTTTCACGATACAGCACAAAGCAAAAACTACAACTCTAACCATTCTAATTGTAAAGTAAGGGACTGCAGAATTAACCTCTGTTTTATTAGATACTGCTTTTGTATCCTAAGAGAGAGGTTTGCGCTTATCCTATAGTAGTTGGACTCGATGATCCTCATAGGTCCCTTCCAGCTCTGGATATTCTATGACATTTTTTCTGTATCTAGATAGAAATGCCTTTAAAAATTAAATGGGTATGCAGCTAAAACAGGCCATACATGGTGCTGAAAATCTACTTCAGCGTTATACTGTGGGCAAATATCTACAAAAGGTGGCTACCTGGACTCCCTAATAATCGTAGATACTAATAATTTACTTTACTGGAAATTATTATTAAGAACCTGTATTTCAGCCCAAATAAATTTCTTCCCAGCTCGCTTTAACATTTGACATGCCATTTCTAGACTAGAGTGATATGTTAGGAAACCAGCTCTGCCTAACAATGCTCAGAGAATCACAGAATACTGGGAGAGTACCTGCCACTCAATCACCCAAACTGGAAAATAAGACAAATACAGGACTTTGCGATAAGGTAAAAGACCTGCCTAGTCACTTCATATAATAGCAAAATGAAAATAATTAGCACCTTCAGAATTAGACATGATGTTTATTAGCCTGACCCTGACAAACCCAAGGGTTCACAAGGCTTGCACGTGCAACTTTCAGGAAGAAAAGCCAACAGGTCAAAAACAATTATGCAAAAATCCTTAAGATACAGGAACTATATACAATGGCTGATGTTTAAAAGCTGTCTACAGATGCTACTCAGAGTACAATTACCGACAGATTTGAAGGACTGAGCTGTGAACGTGAGCTGTGAAAGTCATAAATTGTTTAGGATTTTTGTGTTGCTCCCAGCTGAGTACACTGCTTCTCTTCTTTACTATTATTTCCATACTCTGCCACACTTAAAATGTGATAATCAAGCTGGCTCTTGAGTTCTGTTCTCAAACTCAGTTCTGATGCAATAAGAAACTCACCTCCAATTGCTACTCTGCATCATGTTCAAAGTCAGCAACACTCTGCAGAGACTGATGCTCCAGAACAATTGTGTTGTTCTAGACTATCAGTATAGAATACATCAATGCTGACAAAGAGTTTCTTCTAACAGTAGGTTTGTAAAAACCAACTAAAACTTGTATTCATTTGCCTGCATTACTTTCTGGAAAAGCTCTATCTTTTCTAGAAACAACATGCTATGATTAATTGCAGGGTTTTTTAAAATTAAACTATTGGAATATTTAAAAGACATTATATTATTTCTTCTAATATTGCAATATCCGTATTATAATAATGTACATTTAAATTTAAAAATCATCTATGTGGTCAATAAATTCGTAATACTTGGTATTACTGTGATTATTTTAGATGTATAATAAAGTTGTGAATGTTCATTCTCTTCTAGTGATAATGTGGGATTTTTTTCTAGACACATTATAAAGTTATTCATTCTCCCCATTTAGTAAATAAGGATCGATACAGTTTAAAATGTGTTGTAGACAAAGAATGAGTATACAGTAAATGTATCTAAGATAAAGATATTTCATCTTTCTGAAAATGAAAGAGAAAGTGAAATCAAATAAAAAGTTTAAATTAGGAGGATCAGAATTTCATACAAATGTAATGAAAATAAGCTCTACTCATAAAGAAATGCATACAAATGCATACGGTACCTTTTTATCAGCTTGATGGATTTGAAGGCCTCATCCATGTCTCCAGCAGTCAGATAGAAGCTGAAGTTCAGCATGGCATCCTGAGTAGTCTTATCACAGTCTCCTAATCCAATAAAATCTCTCATGGGTCTTCTGGCAGCCATCTGCAAGACCTTTATTGAGCCTGACTCTTGTCCTTTCTCAGTTTCTCCTGGCTAAAACAAGCACATTATCATTTAGGTATCAAGTATGAGAAATTTTAATCCTTTATATATCTGAATAATATTAATTACATGATTTCCACTACAATCTAAGTTTTCTGTCCCTACAGAACCATGGTCAGTCACAGCTATAATCACTATGTTCCAGAACTTCCTAAAAAATGTCCCAGAATATGGCATGTCACAGAATAGATCAGTATATCATGAGTCATAACAAACAGTCACAATACTTCAGTGGTAAATAGTTTAGAGCTTTGTAAAATAGCACAGAAGAGACAGCCATGATTATAACAACTAATACTATAATAGAAACTACTATTTTTAAGTTGCCAGATTTCTGAAGATTTCAGACAAAATTCTTTGGGGTTAGCTTTTTTCTCAAAAATGAGTGTGCTGTTCTGAAAGTTAACAATACAGACCCAGTTCTTTTATTCTTGCCATCATGTAAAGCTTACAAATACTAAACCTCAGATTCAAAGCATTCTCCAGACAACAGGCAGTTCAGGAGCCTCTAAAGCTTCAATAATACTTTCAAGTCATTGAAAGCCAGCCCAAAGCAATTTGAGTTTTATTCTTTGTCTGAATAATGGTTAAGTCAATCATCAATATCGAATAATCTATCTAGAATGTAACAAAGAAGCTTTCACAAACCAGAGAGTGGAAGATTATAATATCAGTCACAAAGGACACCAAATTTCACATATACTCTATACCAACCTTATAGTTAGACAGATGAGAAAACTAAGTATGAGAGTTACAGAAGCTAATACAAAAATACAATTTTTTGAAAGTAATAGATTCAGTAAGAGACAAACCAAAAGCTCATATAGGTTTGACTACAGTCTGGGGAATTACTGGAACCAGGACAGGGAAGCCATAATAATAAATGGAAACCCTTGAATGAAACTCAGTCAAGATAGATTTGTTGTATCAACTGGATTTGTTATATTTATAGCAAACTACTCATATCCTGAGACATGTTTCCAAAATGAATTACTATGTGACAATTAATTTAGACACTAAGATACAGTAATCCTACTGAAGGAAGAAAATGGAAATGAGAAAAGCAAAGAATGAAGAGGAGCAGAATAATGCAGTTACAGATACTTACAGGTTTATATGCAAATCCCCTCCGAAAAAATAACTAATGGCAGCAATAATCCACAGAGAGGAAAAAAAAGAGATGCAGTATCAAAGTAAAACAGCATGAGACACGATGAGGAAAGCGTTAAAAGATTAGAAAATGCAGCAGATCTTTGACCTTTTAAATTGATGGAAAATGGAAAGTAAAAGATGGCAGCTCTAAAAGCTATATCTGAACAGAAAAAGTACAACAGCCTGTTCTTTGAAAGGGGCTAAACTGTAAAGTGCTGCTCTGAATTTAAATACATTTAAATGTTTAAAAAATCTAGATAAATTCTCCTTGTTTAACACTTCTCCTAAATGATATAAAATTAGATTTACATGATTACATTGTTCTGTTATTCAGAGGACTAGAAGTCTCATTAAGTTCCTAAAGATTTCACAAAAACAAATGCCTCAGTACAATAAACAGATTGTTAGGTCTCCCCCACCTACAGGTAGGCTGCAGTACAAATCTTCATCTTAACAGGCACTAAGAAACCCATGTCAGACCGTAAGCAGAAAACCAATCTGCAGGTAATAGGCTTTATTTTCTCTAGTACAGATAGCATTATTTAAGATACAATCAATTTTGGATTCATAGTCAAGTTTCTAAGAAGTTAGTGCATGCACTCCTAGTATTTGTAGCAAGCAGGCATTCAGTGACAGGGCAAGATGAGTTCTCCCTCTGGTGTTCTGTGGGGATTAAGCTCAATTTCAAAAGGAAGCAGGCTGCTTCTGCTGAAGCTAGTAGGAAGTGTCCCCTCTTACGGCATACAGAAGTCTGACACATGCCTCAACTATAAAAGGAATGGTGACTACATAGAGATTTTTCCTTTTTTTTTCCTCTTCAAAAACATGTCTTTAGTTGCACTCCCTGGTAACTATTCCTGCACCTGTACATCACACCCAATTTGCAATACTCAGGAAGAGCCAATCCACTGTAACTTCCACAATGCTGTCAAATACATCCACATTAGAATTAACTTCATGTCACTGCTACATTTTATGCAGCAACTGCCATTGGATTTATTTAACCCAGACTCAGTTTGGTTACACTTGAACCCTAAGCAATGACAAGTTTGAACTTATGGGAAGGGAAAGAATTGTGAAAGATTTCCTCACCTTTTTTGCAAAGTAATAATGTGGCACCTCAATACCCAGAAGAACTTGGTACAATGAAGGCAATGGGAAGCTGTCTTGAAGCAAAAGGCCATGTTCTTCACTGCTGAAGAATGACATAATCCAGACATCCATCTGGAAAAGGAAGTAAAGAATTGTTTTTCTGGTGCACTATCTTTCTTTCATTTTGATTTTCTTTTCCATATTCATTTGGTAGAACCTTCTCTTGAAAGTAACGTCACACATTCACACACATGGTAACATATACAACTACTTCTACAGGTTAACAAATTACCAATCATTTACTACTCAGATAGGAAGAATAACATGTACAGTGAGGAAAATAATCAAAAAGACCCTACCGTGCTCTCAGTCTGGTTTTTGTTCTGGTTTGGGGATTGTAGGCCTGGTTCAAGAATTGCTTCACATACAAAAAGTCTTGGTTCACTGTTGTCCCAGAAATGGCGAACAGGGATGTGACTCTGCAAGTCTGGATACTCCACAACAGACCTACCAAAACCAACAAGAAATACAGAAATGGAGACAGAATAATTCCAGTCCATTCAGTGTATAAGCTTCAGATAAGGACTAACCAAGGGATAACCTTCAAATGATTATCAGTTATCTTGACTGCTAGCTCTGTGTTGCAACATTAACTATATGCATCTTCCCAACTTCCAAGGAGTCTGTATACACTAATGCCATGTTCAGTTTATTCAGCATAAGTCTACTATGACTATAGGACATAAATCATTTCAGGAAAAAAGCTGATACTGTCACAAATGCAAACAGGCACTCAAAATATGCTTTCACTGAGATCACATGTCCTACAGCAGCATTTGAACACACTTTAACTACTTAAACTTTAACTACTGCTACTACCAACTACTGTAGCATTGAGACTACCTCAGCTCTATTTTCTTGCAGGTTTTTACGATCTGCCCCAAGGTGGTTGTTGATACCCAGCCAGTTAAAGACAGCTTGAGTACACTGCTACGCATTTGGTTAAGCAGTAAAGTTTCTAGTCCATATGCTTCATATTCAAATACAGCTAAGTAGCAGTGGCGGTGGTGGTCTAAGAGATTACAACTAGCAAACTGATGAAAATGATGGGGGGAAAAATAGTTAATATTCTCAGGCAACAGATCTCTCTGAACTGGGAGTTCAAAGAGAGCTAGATACAGTGATCTATGTTTTCAACTGCTCAACTTCCCAATGCTGAGGGAAACTGAAGTTGCAATTGAACATGACCTGCAGCTGAGGACCTCAGTCGTTAGGTATGCCACCGTTCATTCCCTTTTCTCAGCACTGCACTTGAAATTAATATTGCGTTCTTAAAAGAATTCAGAGACATTACAAAATAGCGGAATAAGCACAAGGACAACACCAGCAACTTTATGAAAGCCACCCTCTGCAGTTCAAGAAATATCTTACTGCCTCCTTCAGGCATTTAAATATGACTTAGTGCAGGCCATGTGAAGAATGTAGACATACAGAATCTGACTATTTTAGCAATAGCTTAGGATTAGTCTGAAAAACGTTTATAAACACGTGTCAAATCTTAAAGATTTTTTTTTCTTTGCTGTCAACACTGAAGGGTGAAATTTGGGGTGTGTTTGAAGGGGATGGAGTAGAGATGGAAGGCAAATTAAGAATCATTAGGAAGTATACATACGTAGTGTCCTTCCCATGACATTTAAGTCAAAATAAATTGCTCTCGAATTGAAAAACAGTATGATTTGGGAGTGTTTAGATCCTGCCTCAGGAGGACAGAGAAGGGAAAGACGTTTACCTGATTATTCTTTGATGAGTTTACTCATTTTAATTTCAAGATTCTCTAAAATGAAGTATAGATAAACAGACTCATGCTGACACTTACCCTAGCCTTTAAGCATCACTCAAATAGTAATACTAGTTTGTAGTGGCCTCTGTTGGGCTACACAGGATACTACACTCGAAAACAACTTTCTCATTACTCTCATTACATTGTTTGCTTGACCAAGATGTAAGACCCCAAATTTGCACTGTCCATAGTTACTAAGGAGCTGGGTATTTTTCTGTTTTGCAATGCTGAAAATAACAACTTTATATTTTTTCCCCCTGTAATATCTACACAGCTGTTGAAAAAATGAAATCACCTCCTCTTCTAAGGTTGTTATTTCTTAAGAAAAATACAGTAGGGAAAATTTTTGTAAAACCAGATAAATTCATACTAATATCCCACTGTACTTCCACGAGAAATCCTAGTTCACTGCATTTTTCTGCCTTGCTACTAGGATTACTAATACATTGTGGTGGTGTCACACAGGTAGGTAGCTCAACCCCACCACACCACTCTCACTCCTCCTCCTCAAAAGGAGGAGGAAAAGAATAGGATGAAAAAAGTTCATGGGTTGAGATAAAGACAGGGAGATTGCTCAACAATTACCGCCATGGGCAAAACAGACTCAGCGTAAGGGAGATTAATATAATTTATTGTCTACTGATAATAGACTAGAGCAGTGAGAGCTAAAAGTAAACTAAAAACACTTCTCCTGCATACAGCCTCTTCCACCTTCTCCCCATGAGTGGAACAGGTAAAGAGGCAACAGGGGCTGCAGTCAGTCCAGAACACTTCACCATCCGTCACTCCTTCATGGTCGCTCTTCCACAACTTCCCCTGCTACCAAAAACTTGCCACGTAAACCTAATACTTGTATTCACCGCAGAGCAGCTTATATAAAATGAAAACTGTGGGTTCTAAAAAGATGTTTCATGGAAGTTTTTATCCATATAAAACATTCTGTCTTGAAATTTAAATATATACATTTTTATATTTTATTATTTTTCTTTTTACCTCAGGAGGAACTCCAGAATGTCTTTTTTTTTTTACAGTTCCTATCCCATAAGCTTGTCATGGAAGAGAAAGTCTCCAATATTTAACAAAATTATTCTAAGACCAGGACCCTGATTCCAGTCATATACCTCCACACATATTCCCCAGAGACCTCTTGAGCCAGATACGGCTTCCACACAGTTATTTCACTGCATTATTCTTTGCTGAATACCTCCATGAACCCTTTCTTCAGCATTTATAATTTCCTTTGGTAAAGAAGTTCCTTAGCATAGTTTCTGAAGAACCGTCACCACCTCCTGATTATTTTAAGCTTGCTTTCCATACTTTCATTTAACACTCCCTAGTTCACATATTGGAAGAGAAAGAGATGCAGTATTGGTTAGTATACAATACATCAGTTTTAGTTGAATCTTTAGAAAAAAATAATAATTGGTATAAATTCCTACACAGACAGAGGAATACCAATAGCAAGATGTTGCTCATTTTCATATGACAGATTCCTATCTTAAAGCCTAGGGTAATATTTTTCAAAATAAAAGCTTCTTACCTGTCAATACGTTGTCCAGAAGAAAGCTTCTCTCTACCATTCCCCTGTTCATCCTTGAAATTAAAGACTGTAACTTTGTCCACTTCAACATCATAGAAACAGATCTTGGAATCAATGCTCCCATTTGCCTGAGAATGGGAAAAAAGTTGCTGAAGGACACAGGTAAAAAGCAAAAAGTTCACATGGTATGCTCATCTAATTCAATTCATGCTCTTAACAGTTTCATGTACTTGCAATCTCAAAAGAACAGTCAAAAGAAGTATCATAACATTTCTTGCTGTTTCTCTATTCTAGCAAGTTTGCCTTTGATTTCTTTGAAATGCTATAAAACAGTTTTTCAACTGAGCTACTAAAAAACTGGGCTGTTCGCCTCACCAAATATACAAAACCTTAACAGAGCTTAATTTTAGTGTTTGTTACATGCAACCTTTCAAGACCAACAATATCGTTTATAGAAAATACAGGTTTGTTTCTGTGAAGTTAAAGTGTCGTCAGTAATCATCTTGAACTGTACCAGTCTATTAACTGATCTGATGGTCAGGCCCTAGGGTGGTATGTGAAGAGTTTCACCTCACCTTGCTAACGAGGATGCTGACTTTGTTGCCGTTAGCATTGCACTTGACAGATGCAATGCTTCCAAGGCCAGGAAACAGCTCAGAGAAGTTCTTGCTATTGCAGTGCACTTTTGCCTCTCTGTGGAAAGGAATAAGTTTAAGTTGTATGGTAGCAATAAAGCAACAGTAGTTATCAGCCAAAATATTTTCAAATTACAGGTAAGAAAAAAGACCTCAAAAAAATTTTATTTCTTCCTTACAAGACTTTTGACCCAAACTCTAGCTTCCTCTCCTGTTGTGACCTGCCTTTCTTTCAGAAATTAATGAAACACTCATTCCTCAATGAATCACCAAGAATAATCTTCAGTGCTCCAACAGGACTCCAAAGAGAGGGCTATAAACCAAAAACATCCTACCAGAATTTTAATTCAGAGGACTGCTTTTTCCTATGTAAGTTGAACAGTACTGTAATGCTGAAAATAGCTCATCACAGAAGTTCTGTGCATGGGAAAGATGAACTCTGGAAAAAGAGTAATGTCACTGGGGAACAGGGATGGCATTTATATCATACCAGTCACTTTCCATCTGCACACAATTTACAAAGGACTATCATTTCAGAAGAATCTCACCAGTGCTATAGATACAACCCCAGCAATTATTCAGCAAAGAGGACAAATGTCATGAATCTAAAGAATGTGACAGAAAAAAGCGACATTAATTTAGACCCATAATAGGTTCCCATGTAGGAAAATCTTTGATTCTGTAAAAATAACATTCTCGGATTACATGCTTGGACCCATCGTTTGTTCTGTCAGCTCTGTTAACTTTAAAATTTAGGTGTGATATATTGTCATAATTTAAAAAGGGGTATTATCATTACTAGCCATGAAAATTTAACAAAGCATGGAGGAGTTCAGCTAGTTGCTTTCACTATCAATCATCACAACCAATCCAATACTTGTGCTAACAACAACCTGCCCAAATACATTACCTTCAAATTGTGTTCTGTGGTATGTAGACAACCTCAGTTTAGCAGTCCTCTGGTCACAGTATGTAAGAGAATTTGTTTTACTCTTAATGTTTTTCAAAGTCATATTTGTCATTAACAAGTACATTTTTGATTTGGACATTTTGTTAGGCACATCTTTTACGTGCCATAGCAGTTTGTTAGAAGGGCACCACAGTGTAACCAGAACAAATGTAAGTAAATCTCTCACTTTTTCCTTTATTTCAACTTTTCTGAGATAAAGATCGTCTTCAGTTTATTAGAAGAAGCATGTAACATCCTTGTCTAGATCTTCCTTAAGTTCTCCACCTACATTCCAATACATACAAACAAACCTAACAATACCCTAAGTCACTGTTACAGTACTCAGCCCGTGATTTGTCTAACAATTCTCTGTCTCTTCACTTACTTCAGGAATATGCCATCAGTTCACGCACACTACACTGTATTGTCTTGAGATTCAAAGAGGTAATCACTTTTCAGTACATCAAAACCAGCTAAAGATTTCACCCCTCCCCACAGAAAATGTCCTCAAGTATGAGCAGATTGTTTTTAAAGGCTAATTAATACCTGCGAGAGAGATCAAAGATTTTGAAGTGAGCCAAATCAGTTCCCACAGCCAAGAAGTTTCCACAGACATCCAAGAGGCACGGATTTCCCTCTGCTTCAGAGAACACCAAAAGCTGCTTAACTGTTCCCTGAGAACAAAGGTGTAACACTAGGTTTGTACATTCAGAGTTTAATATTTTCTTACTAAGCTAATTGCTAAACTTCTATGTTAGATGAATCACTATCAACAAAATGAGAGAAAATGCACTTGGCACACACACCCCTCACAAAACTCACAAAAGATCTCCAAAACCACAATCTGCTTCAGGTAGAAAACTGGATATATAGCCTCCAAAAAAGCTAAAACTTATAGAAATACTTGTGCAAAAATGGCCTCTTTGATAATACAACTTTTTCCAACTAAGAGGGATGCATGAATACAGCTCCCTGAAGGTCCACTAATATACATCTGGAAAAACATTGTATCAGTCCTCATTCTGATAAAACCTCCCTTTCTTAAATAAAATTATGTATCATAGAACTGTAATAACTACATTTCTCTTTTTGGTTCTCATGACAAGCAGAGGCTGCAAAACTTATGCAGAAGACTCCACAGGAACATACAGAATGTGCACAGGGTATATTTTTCCTCTTAAAACATTTAATATTATAAATTTCCCATCAGTAATATATATTCATATGCATGCAATTTATATCCTCATAAGCATTCTGGTCCCTACATAATTCTGTTTTTTATCATAAATACTTACTAGGATTAGCTACAGTGCAGTAGTGTTTAAACATAATAGACTAAAGAATACAACATGTAAAACTTACAGCTAAAATCCTCAACACGTTTTTCCCATGACAAATTTAGAGTCAGTATGTTTACAGAACTTCCACTTATTTTTTAAGCTGTGACACCAGTCTTTGAAAAACAGTAAGACGTATTTGTTGTTCCATGTGTTCATCAGCCCTTACCTGCCAGGTACGGACTTGGACCCGATATGGCTCAACCGTGTACAGATTTTCTCCATGCACTGACAGAACTGGAGAGTCACAAAGAAAAGAGCCTGGAAGAGGAATCACAAGGAAACCATCATTACAATAATCGTAGGTGAGCTTTTTTTTTTTTTTTTAAGAAAGAAAATAAAAAAAAAGGAATTTTGACTTAAAGGAATCACTACCTGCACTTCTTAAGGTATCTTCTGAACACTCAAAGACAGTAACTTGCTTCCCATTCCAAAATACTACAGCATCCTAAAAACAATCAAAACCCAAAACATAAACATTTTTATTCTGGACTCATACTGTAATTTATGCAGTAACACAGTAAGGCCTTCCATGCAGTTGCCATCTTTTACTAATTCATCCATGTATTGGATTGAAAGGCCTTTAGTAACCCAAAAAAGAGATGTCAGCATCCAGAGTACTACTGAATCACTGTGCTACCTGAAAACCAGCTCCACCACAGAATGATTGCTATCGTCATAAGAATACTTCCATTACACGATAAAATGGAATATTAAAGAATTATATTAAGGACTTGGAAAGTTTGGTCTTTATACACCTAGCTAGGCAAAGACCTGAGAAAATGAATGAGAAGACCAACAACCTTAGTAGCAAAGACTCCATTAACAGTCATATCAACATGAAGACTGTGTGTGGTTCCTGTGCTGAAGAAGGTCACGTTAAACAGGCTGGGAGACACTTGTACAGCAGCCACTTGCTGATTAAAATGACACGACATGGCCTGCTCACTGAGGATCACCACAGAGCTGATGCTGTTCACTGCTAGAAGATTTTTTCGAGAGCCCCACTGCACGAGAGCAAGAAAACAAAAACAAAAACAAAAGATGGTATAACATCTTATTTGTATGGATATATATGTACACACATATACACATGCACACAAATATGGAATTCCAACTACAGCCAATTACAGATGAAAGCTATTATGCTAGTTACCCAGCTACTTACGCTCCCTTAGTTTAAGCGGAGGAGCTATTTTTTACATTAAAACCACTTTTTCCTTAAGATAGTTTTGTACCACCTCACATTTACACTCATGAGTGAATCACTTATTTAAAAGGCTTAATCACGCTTTGATCTGTAAAAGCAAGTTGCATGCATAGTATCTTATTTGATTACCTTATTCATTTCTGCAGTTTTTATATCCCTCTCAGTCAATGTTGTACAAACTCCTTACCAAACGCTGCTAAATCACATGCATAAAGGGGTCCAAAAGAACACAGGGATTCTTCAAGGAGAAGGGGGGTAAGTGTTCTAGCTTTGTAATTGAATTTTTATGTAGGTTATCCTTCCCTTTTTCTTTTAGGATTCAAAAATAGCACTTGCACAGAGCACTGCTAAACCTGGAGATACCTTTGAAAATTTGACAGAACAGTAAGATCTGCTTCTGAGACAGCAAGGACAGTTTTTAACATGCAGCTGATGAATTCTTTCTATAGTGAAGAGAAATGCTCCCATTTTCATCCTGTCTTTACGTATTCACAGTCAAACAAGCATGTCCAGCATTGTTCATGTTTATTCCTATCAAAGGATGATTCTTTTCAAGAAAACATTGTGGCAACCAGTGTACTACAAAAGAACTCTTCCATAAGATTTAGTCAGAGATGATCTGTTTATAGTCTGGACCCTATAACCACACACATGGGGTAGGGGTTGGTGCTTTTCTGAACTCAAACATAATGCTCCTTGATAAGCAAGGTACATAGTTCATGGCACAGGTTTGACACAGGAGTTGCCTTTGTTGCTGGGCCCGGGAGGACACAGAAGGGAGGGATGAGGGGTGTTCCTTTGCTGCTAGATGGCTGTTTTGTTGGCTTTTTTTTTAAAAAAAAGAGACCATTGATGCATACATACTACCATGGGCTAAATTAATTATGAAGTTTCTAATAACTATAGAAAATCCCTTTCAAGACCAACTCTGTTGTTGTATAGCAGCAGATATGCTCTATAAAATTTAGTGCCAAGTCTCAAAGGTCTCTGCTTCCTTCAAAGTTATTTGAAGTTTCATGTTAATTTCCTGATTTTCAAAGATTTTTTTTTCACTGGTATAGACATTGATGTTTCTGTGACTGTCTTTCCAACAACATTGATTTTAATAGTTGTATTTGGAAGTTATTTCATTTATTCAAGAGCACAATCTGAAAAATAAAACTGATTTGCATGGTTTGTTTATATTTAGTTACTGTTAACTAGAATATTATGCTGCAAGTTAGAGTGCATTTCCAACCACTTCTCTTTAGAAGCCACTATATCAGATTGAAAAAATATTAGATTTTCAAGGAGTGGGAAAAAAAAGTTATTGCTGTCCTTTGACCTCACCGTAGTATACGGCTTTCTATTCCAAGTTTTTCACGGTAACACAGGAAAACTCTTTTATAGGAATTATCAAACTATTCTACACCTATCAATTTAGAAAAAAAAAAAAAAAAAGAATGCAAGGATTACAAATATATATATATATAGTTTACATAATTAAAGATTACTTGATTATGAGATAAAGTGTGGGGACTGTTGATAACTGTTTGGCAATGCTTTTGTTTATGCTAACAAATGTTGGGAAGAAGGTGCTATTTCTGGACAGCACTTTATATCCTGTTACTTAGAAAACACATAAATGGTCAAGCTGACAAAAACCTATGTCTCTTCCCCCCATTCTAATTATTAGCAGATACATGATATATTAATGGCACAAACCATTTCCCATCTCCTGGGCCTGAAGCATCTGTTACTGAAGCACCTTAGCTTGGGATTTTGACCTAAATATTACTTATGTGTTAATTTTTTAAGTAGGACTGATACAGTATGTATCTATTATGTATATATATTCTATTTGGTATTACTTTTTTCTCTATTTTCTTTCTTGCTATTTTAATAAATTTATGTAAATTTTGGATATTAGGAAGAAGTTCTCCACTGAAAGGGTGGTTGGGCACTGGAATAGGTTCTCTGGGAAGCGGTCATGGCACCAAGCCTGACAGAGTTCAAGGTGAGCTCGGACAATGCCGTCAGACATATCGTTTAATTTTTAGGTAGTCATCCTGTATAGAGCCAGTAGTTGGACTCGATGATCCTGTGGGTCCCTTCCAAGTTGGGATATTCTATGGTGCTTTAATATTTGACATTCCTGATAATCTATCTTTTTCTGAAAATAATTTCAGGGTGCTGAATCCAAAGAGTTCATCAGCAAGACTTATAAAGGAGAGATGTTTGGATTTAAGTATGCTGTGACTGCTTGTTCTCCCAGGCAGAGAGATCTATTTACATTTCAGCGCATAATGCTGCTGAGCATTTCAACCCTGTCTGTAACACAATAGCTACAAAGAGGTAACACTTCTGCCTATTTCAGTTTTGAAAATTGCTTTATTCAAGGGTTGTCCTCCTTTAGAACACTCATTTCTTGCTGGCACATGTCTGTAGGATAACAATCATACTCATCTATTCCACAGACAAGATATATTCAAGTAAGGTTTGTGAAGTCCTAATAGAACACATGACTCTTTCCTGTGTTACCTTTATCTGAGTGATATTTCCTTCAAGTTCTGTAGGTGCTTGGAGCTTCCACTTCTCCTTGTTCTCCAAAGCCTGGGTGCTCTGACTGGATCCTGATGCCTTCCTCCACATAGCTATTCTCCCTTTGTTAGTACCAGCTGCTAGGAGACCTGCCATTCACAGGCATTTTAGATATTTAATACCTTTCCAAGCTTCAGAAAAACACAAACATTATACAAAGCAGTAGGAAGCCTCACTCTGGTTCTGAGATATTGAGAAGCCTTGTTCTAGAACAGTTCATTTCTTTGCCTTTCTGCACACCAGCATTCTGGCCCTGTACTGGAGAACCTTTCTGGAGAAAGGATGGAAGTTTCATTTGAAAACCAATGCCTATTTTCTAAGCCATAAGATGAAGTTATCTTTTAAATGTATCAGACACTGATTTCATTTTAACCATTTAAATATCAAATCAAATATCTGCTTTTGTAGTATAGATAGGCAAGGCACCATGAAAAGCAATTCTAGTAGACCCTAGCTGTGCCTACATTAGCAAACAAGGCAACAGTTAGGAGTTAGGAGCTCCGTAGAGAAACCAACTGTAAGGACTTGACGTCCACACTGTACATGTTTAGTGAGTTCTGCTTTTCACTAGCTCTAATGTATGCTTGTAGCCTTCCCATAACATGTTGGAGTGCATTATATATACTCCAGGAATATATCTACTAGTTCGCTATCAAAGGAAATCTGGATGGTGTGCTTGGAGACAAAGTGTGCTGAGTACAAATGATCTCATTGTTCCTTCAAAAGGGCACTCCTGAGCTAGACTAAAACACTTCTACTTAATGTGCTATTACTGAAACACCTAGTAACAAGAAAATTATACTAAAACGAATAAAGGGCACTGAAGACTAACAATTTGGCAAGGTTTAGGATCTAGCAAACAGAGCTGTCATATTATTTCTCACCTTTGGCACTGCAGTAGGAAACACAGTTAATACACTCTCCTGCCTCAAATCCAAATTGCACATCTAGGGATAGCACATAATTCTCACCTCGGTCCAAATCCCAGAACCTAAGACACACAAAAGAAGAGTTAACAATGCTTTTCCTTCCAAGTGTCTTGCTAAACAGTCAATAGGATGCTGTACATGGCATTAATTTGCTACTTCCTGATTCTATGATTCCATAATGCCCCAATCATTTAATTCCTAAAATGAAATTGTTAGCAGATGCCTCTGGAATGTGAATTTCTTAATCTCCTTTCTTTTCCTTTGTCTTTTTAGTCCACAGGATATTTTGTAATGTTCTGTGACGGAGTCAGAAGCAAATCCAGTCTTAAGAAAAAAAGAAAGGAAGTGAGGCATTGCTGCTACCTTCTTCTACCCAGCTTAGTTCATTAGTTTTAAGGATATTCCATCTCAAGCAGTAGCCCTTTGGATTCCAGATGTACTTTCTAGAACTAAACATTGTCAAATATCTTCCTGCTTAACACTTGGTTGTTATAACATTCTCACAAGATTACCAGATGATTTTGACTGACAGTAGCAGATTGTCCGATAGTAGGGAGACTCAAACAAGTGAAATACTGATGTTAATGGAATAGCCTCCTTTGTCTCCTCACCCCACAAATTTTGACAAAATATGTAGAGTAAGTCAGAAGAAAGACAGAGAAAAAATACATAGTACTTTAAAAAGATGCAAAACAAAACAAACAAAAAAACAAAACACAGAACTATGAAAGATTATAACTGCAACACAGCAAAGTGATGTATTTAGTTTAAAGAATTAGAGACAGAAATAACCAGAATACCTGCATTATATTGCAGTAATAGAGAAATCCTGATAAGCAAGCATTTTTCTCCTGTTGCTATGACTGTCATAAGAATCAAAAGATAAAGATAGAAAGAACAGCAAAGTGGCTTTTTCAAGAAAAAAATAATATATGTTTTCAAAAAGAAATACAAAAACGCATTCAGAAAATAAAAAGTCTGGGGAGTACTGGCTGATAAAATAAAACTACCTTGAGAAAGGAAAATATACACATGTAGTTCTCAAGGAAACATGTTTTTCAGTTAATTATTTGTATTTTGTGAAAGAAGATGAGAAATTTTTGAAGTTTTTGTTTTGTTTTTACACATTACCAGTTAAAACAAAAAAGACAATACCACTTCAGAAAAAACTTTAGTGCACTGCAGACAATAAACTGTTTATTTAGCCGTTCTCATGGCAGAAAAAACAGCTTTAAAACAGGATTCTTACCTGACTACTGTCTCACCTATTGCTGTAACAATAAGGCTATGGTCTATTAAAATGATGTCTGCAGAATGAGCTATCTTCCCACTCAACTTCACCTGTAAACCAAAAATAAACACATGAAATGTAGGATCAACACACTGAAAGACACTAAGCATCTGAATTGCCTAGTATGTCCACAAAGCTAAAATGTAAAACCAGATCTGTCAGACGGTTCAGAAAGGGGAGTTCCTCTCACCGATCACCATTAAACCTATCAAATACATGATGCATATAAATTTGGTAAAAGAAATTTTGTAGACAGGTAATGGTTAATGGCTCTGTGTTCAGTTGGCTGATGACAAGTGGTGTGACTCAGTGGTCTGTTCTAGGACCAGTGCTGTTTAATATCTTTATCAACGACATAGACAGGGGGATTGAGTGCATCCTCAGCAAGTTTGCAGATGACACCAAGCTGAGTGGTGCAGCTGGTACACCAGAAGGGAGGGATGGCATCCAAAGGGACCTGGACAGGCTGGAGAAGTGGGCCCATGTGAACCTAATGAGGTTCAACAAGTCCAAGCGCAAGGTGCTGCACCTGGGTGGGGGCAATCCCAGACATGAGTGCAGACTGGGACAAGAACTCCCTGAGAGCAGCCCTGCAGAAAAGGACCTAGGGGTTCTGATGGACGAAACGTTCAACATGAGCCAGCAGTGCGTGCCTGCAGCCCAGAAGGTGCAGCCCAGGACGAAGTTCATCAGAGGAGCATGAGTAGGTCAAGGTGCCCCTCTACTCTGCCCTTGTGAGTACTACGTCCAGGTCTGGAGCATCCAACACCGCAAGGATGTTGATCTGTTAGAGCATGGTCCAGAAGAGGGCCATGAAGACGTTCAAGGAGCTGGAGTACCTGTCCTATGAAGAAAGGCTGAGAGCTGGGGATGTTCAGCCTGGAGAAGAGAAGGTTGCGGGGAGACCTTACCGCAACCTTTCAGTACCTAGCTGGGACTTATAAAAAAGATGGAGAGCGATTCTTTGCTTAGGCAGATAATGACAGGACAAGTGGGAATGGTTTTGAACTGAAAGAGGGGCAATTTATGTTCGATGTTAGGAGGAAATTCTTCACTCAGAGGGTGGTGAGGCACTGGAACAGGTTGCCCAGAGCAGCTGTGGGTGCCCCATCCCTGGAGGTGTTCAAGGCCAGGCTGGAGGGGGTCTTGGCCAACCTGATCTAGTGGTGGCATCCCTTCCTAAGGGATTGACCCAAACCATTCTATGAGTGATCTCCCCGTCCTTTTCTCAACCTTTGAGCTCTTTTAATCATATTTTCCCTTTCCCTTATAGAAGGGGAGGAGAGTGGTTGTGGTGGAGCTCAGCTGCCCACCTGACTAAAAACACCACAGTCCTTTCTGGCACCCAACATGGGGCATGAGGAATTTGTGATAAGGATGATAGTTGAGAGCAGAAATGGGCAAATCATGGATTGGATGTTGTTTACAAATGTAGTTGTCCACAAAACATTTTAATATTTAATTGTACTGGAATTACAGATAGATTTTATAAGTATCAACTTTTAATTCTTCTCTAATTCACTAAGACAAGTTAAATAAGGAGCAAAGAGATTAATATAGGGTCAAAATAGAAAAAGAAAAAAAAACAAACAAACACAAAATAAAGGTGAAAATCATCTTTCCAAGTTCAATAACACGACTCTATTTCACTTTTATATGAGCGTATATTTGCTCATCAAGGTAATATCTGAAAAACAAAAAAGCTGGTTCATTTGTGACTAAGGGAAATAATAATAAAAAATTCTCAAAAAAGATTCAATATTGCAACTTTAACTTGTAGTCTGACTCTTACCTTCATGAGCTCCTCTGCTTCTCCCTCAGGAGTAATTTTATGCAAGGACAACAGCAGGTTTTCTGTTATGACAAGTAATACATCTCCTTTCTCCATGAACAGAAGTTTTTGTACCAGACTGTCTGCTGACAATACATGGCTTGTCTTTCCTTTCTCATTCACACAATGCACAGAACCTATAGTATATATAAACAAGTTGCACAGCTCTTAGGTAACAGCACTTGTAGCCACAAAAATATTTTTTTTATTTTCTGCTTTAATATAATATCCTTCAAGTGCTAAGAGTAAAATAACCACCATCCTCACCTCCTTGTTTGTCTCAATTATGATAGCTGACAAGAGCAACAAATAGAAATTATTCTCTTTTACTCATCTAGAAAATCCAGATGCAATTCATTTAAATAGCATCATTGAAATATTTTGAGGCTAAATTGAAATATTTTGAAGCATAGGCATGCAGGTATGTGAAGGCTCCCCATTAACAACTTGTGAAAGCTAAGAATTAGTACAATTCACACTGAAGTGTAGATTGAAGAAGCTCATGGATATAAACTTCTTCATTGTTTAGCAACACCCACACTACACACACGCACTAAATGCAGCTCTTCTACGTGAATTTCACAAGTAATTATGCATACCAGAGACATAATAAAAAAGCAAATAAGATTGTGTCTAAGAACACTGACAACATAACGTGTATCATCTGGTTAAACTGCAATATTGCATAAATCTTACATAGGTCTATGCAGTGAGAAATCCTACAATTAGTAGTTTGCAAATTATATTACTGAAATCACCAAACAAATGAGGTCACCAAAATTTAACAGATCCAACGCACTTCACACAACTTCTTGGCAATTCATGGTCTTATTTAAATGTAGCATTTCAATTCGGTGCAAATTATAAAGCTCTAAGAAATATATATATATATATAAAAAGCTGAAATAGAAAACAAATGTGTAAGAGTGACCACTAAGGACCTACACCAAAATATTGTACCTAAGAGGTAATATGAGGTTCCTTTAATAAAAAGAATGTTTTAATTTACAGAACTCTTGCAAACACATTATCACCCTCTATATACCAACTACATTACCTACATTAAATATATATATTTCCAAACTCCTCTCCCACCTGGTCCCATACGGTTTCATTTTCTCCCAGGTAAAAATGAATCCTTTTTTCAGATAAGCATCTCATGTAACATACTACCTGAATTTCACACACACACACCTGTTTGTTTGTTTGTTTGTTTTGTTTTGGGTAAATACAGAGATTAGCATTTTGGAATCAATAATGTATCTAGACTAGTACTCGAAACTCGGGATATATTTGATATTTTTTGACAAGCTCAATTGTTTATTTTAAAAGATGCTCTATTGTCCTTAGTCAAGTCTCTTCTGAGATTTAAAAATATACAATAGCAATGTTTAAAGCATTAAAAACAATTTGAAGGCAATAATTTTAATTAATTTTTATTAAATAAGTTTATGATGAAAACCACAATAGTAGTAATAATTTAGAAATCCCATTTAAACCCTATGAAAATGTTAACAGATTTTGAAGTTATGACCGATCTCTGCCTAAAATAAGAACTAGGTCCAAAATACTTCTGCATTATCATCCTCTGCAGTAGGAAAGCTCAAAAGAAACCACCAGCATCATCTGACAGAAAAATAAAGTTTAAACAGGAGGCCTGAGAAACCACAAAAATGTTGAGGACTCCCACTTTCAGGACACTGAGTCTGTCTCTAGAAGGAGATGTGTACCAATACATGCTCACTTTCAAAGCACCTGGTAACAGCCACACAGCTATGCAAAGATTTCCACTTTTGACACTTGTCTAACAAGAGTCCTGTATCCCATTTTCATTTGAATAGTTCCTATCTACTGAAGAGGTTTACACCTCACAAATCAAATCAGAGCTCACTGCTCTGCAAGAAAAATACACAGCTAGACAATGTCACTCCTACAATCATACTGGTGTTAATTATGTCATTTATGACATTTGACTGTCATAATGAATGTAAACATTGAATCATGCTGTAATTGATCTGTGGAACTAGCATAACTTAGATAGATTTTTGGAGTAGTTAGCACTTGAATGGAGAGGATTACGTACTCAAATCACCTACCAGAAAATACTCATTACACTGCCTGTTTCACATTCTGGCTCTTGTCCAAAGAGTTACACAGGTTAGGAAAAGGCATCATAAGAACAACGGGGGTAGGAAGAAAATTAGCTGGTAACAAACTAGCACCCAGAAGAATAAAAGCAGGAGGAAGAAAGAATATTAGGAAGAAACCTAGAAAAAAACAGCAGCAGGTAAAGACATTTTACCATCTTTATACAGGAAACATCATACCAAAGCACAGGGAGAAAAAAAGTAAACACAAACATTATTTTAAAATGTATGTTCTAGTAGCATTCGACTATTTCTAGGGAAAAAAAAAAAAAAAGAAACATAATAAAGGCATTTCTCATTTTTGTATAAATTGCTGACAGCTTATCATTTTACTTGCATTTGAGTGTTACACTTTTCTTACACTCACGCCTTTGGGAACTTGACTAATCCAACACCTATAGTGTTCTTTATAGAGAGGACTCACCCTGAAGACATTAACATTCTCAGCATTTTATTAAATTCTTCTTATCAAATATTCTTCAACATCTATGAATACCCTATCCTGTTGTATATAAGAAAACAGGGTTATCTTGCACTGAACAGTTTTGAAGCATTAAGTAGACAAATTTTCATCAGTCTGGAAAAGCATTTTGCTCTTACCATCCGTCAACGTGACAAAGAAAGACAGTCCTTCCTGGAGTCCCATTTTCAGTGGTGCTCCTGTTCCAGCTTTTCTCCAGTTAAACATATCTAAGGCTTTCTCATCACCACTCACAGCTGCTTTTGCCAGCTGTACAAAATCCCTGGAAACAACCAGAGATGTTTCATTTCCAATTGCTTACATAACAGAGTACTTTCCATCCTAAAGAACTTGAATTTATAATTCATAAGACACATTGTAAAGAGAGAAGATGTTTTACATACTGGTTGGAAACCAACAAGCCCCCAAATAAACAAGATTTTAATAATAGTATTCACTTGTATTTCTTCACCTCTTTTTCCTCCCTATGACTACTATTACTTTTTTACAGAGAGACAAAGAAATGTCCCAGATAAAGAAGATTCATTTTTGGGGGGTTATTGGTTTGTGGTGCGTTTTGTTGTTGGTGTGTGCTGTTTATTTTTCTGTTTTATACTAGAACTGATTCTTATTTCTTGATTGGAGAGAAAAGACATAATATGTAAGAGCTCAATTGTTCTTGCCAATAATTTCATGGATAATTGTTTTCAGTGTGCTTTCTGCTTTTCACAGTCAGCAACACTGCCACTTAGAACTAAAGAAAGAAGAATCAGCAGCAACAAAGAAAAAGGTATTGACAAAATGAAGATTTGTTGCTGCATACAGAACACAAATAGCCTCCATAGCAACTAGAGGGAGAGGAGAACTTGGAACCAGAGGACAATTAGGAAGATAATTTTCTACTTTTATTATTATTTTCTAATTGTCTATAAGTAGGTTTTTCTTTCTCTGGAACAAGAGAAGGACCTAGTCTACCAGTGCTCTGACAGGGGCACACTTACTCGCCAGGAGGTGGTGGTCGAAAGATGCAGTGAGACAGACGTTTTCCATACTCGTGTTTCAGCACGGGCGTACCTTGCACTCGACCTCTTTGGTCCATTCTCCATAGAACCAAGACACCATGCTGGAAAAAAGACAACAGTTAATTCATTATACCTTGCACATAGATGAGAATCCAGATTCTTTCCTACTCAGTGCACATTGCATTATCAATGCAGAATATTTTAGTGATGGAGCAATACCTTTCTTTTAAAGGACACATATAACTTACTCCAATTTAAAATTAAGCAACAATGAATAAAAATGATTTTTAAAATTACAATATGTGCTTATTTAAAATCACGTTACCTAAAAATACTTGTTGATCACATCCATTCCTAGTAAAATAACCCTGCAAAACAATGTTCCTCTGCAGGTATGCATATGCAGGTATTTTCTTAGGTAGCTCCCTTTACACTTTTTTCTTGCAAATAGTCTGGTTGCTAAAGGAATAAGTATTGAGCCACAGGACAGTAATGCTTAAGATAAGCAGGGAGTTTTCCCTTTCTTTCACAGAGTGGGCACCTGAGTACAATGAGAATTCATTGTTTTTAATAAAAAAAAAAAGAAAAGAAAACTTAGAAGAATCATAAATAACGAAGAAATGAATACTAGTTGGCCAATAAATTCAGTAAGAGTCAATAAAAGTTAACTCTGGAAAATAATTGTGCCCATTCTTTCAGCCTAATTTTAAAAATACCTTGAACAACAATGCCTGTAGCACTTCTCAAGGAAAGTATTACATAGTCTCTTTTTTTTTTTTTCTGACACCCTAATTGTCCCTTTCCTTAGCTCCATTTGCCCAACATTTACATGCGTACCTCATTCAAAACAAAACTTCAGTCTTACAAATCTCAGGATTGTTCCTGTGTATTCTGAGAAGTTATATTCTTAAGCTTTACTTAGCTATCAATTTTACATAAAGATTAGGAATACATATACACTTTGCTTTTTCTATTCAAATACTCATAATTTCTAAAAAATACGTATTTGCAGCATAGATAAGAACTAACTACTATCACATAGTCTCAATTGGTGATTTTTCCTGCAAGCAAGAACACAAGCACACACCAAAGTACCGGCACTGTGCAAGCCTTGGAGCCTGGCATGGGTTTTGGAGACAGCCAGCATTTTGCAGTGCCCGCTCAGAACACTCATCAACCTCAAAGGCCAGTGACCATAAGGAATGGAGAAGGCAGACATGCAAAAAGAGATGCACTGACGTATCAATCAACAATCCCAACAGGTTGACTGATGCCACAGCTTCACAGCTGGAATTTAAAGATTATTATTTATTTTTGTTATTCTGTTCTAGGCAACCAAACTGCAGTTGGAGTCCCTCTGCATATTACCTGAAGAACCAACAATTTGCACTACAAAGTTCAACATCATCTTGTTTCATTAAGCAGACAACAATAGAAGCGGTATTATAATTTGCTTTATTTTTCTTTGTTTTTAAAATATATGTGCCCTTCTGCAAGTGGAATACTAGTAGCAGTAGCACAACGTAAGCACTTTAACTTTACAGTCCTAACTAGAACCCACACAAGATGCAGCTGAGGCCTTCCAAGGTAGTTTCCATCTTTTTTCCCCTGCCATGAATGGAAGTTCTACCTTCTTGTCAGAATTAAGATAATATCCATACCACCATACTGCTATCCTTCACGTGAAGGATTTTAAAACTATATTTAAAGACTATTGGGAAGGATGTAGGAGACAAAGTGTGTGCACAGACCACACACTGAGTATAACATACACCAAGTAGAATGACAGTGAGCATGCAACAGGATAAGCTGGCCTGCACAATACAGTTTTTAGCAGAAACAATCTTGACACTAGCCACAGGATGCAGAAACAGCTGGGCACCCTGCCTAATAAGCCTTGGCTCTTCACAAAGCTGATTAGCTCAAGCTGGCTGCTATACAGCTGCAGGTTTTTAAGGACCCACATTTCATTGGCCAGGGATACCATAGAGAACCTTAACTGTGCTCAACTGTGTTTATTGAATTCCATTAGAGGCTGAAAGCTAGTTTTTGCTGTACTGAACTTCACTGAGTTCAAACATCATGCTGCTCTATCCATTGAGGTTGGTTGTTCCAGTGACAGCTATTTAATCTAGGTAAAAGTGAAGAGCATTCATGTCAACACATGCAGATCTTGCTTTGTCATCTTAAGATGCTTACTTGAAACCTCTGCTTACTCTAGTTTGATTATTACTCAGAGTAGCACTTAGGATGAGCTTATAAAATTTTTAATTAAACTTGCCTATAAGAGTGGCTACGTCTGTTTTGGGAAGACTTACTGTGATCTTACACCAAAAATCAATTTGAAAAGTCTGTTCATAAGTGTAGGGTTAATGTAAAGTGCAGTTACGTTAATATTATCTCTATATAAAGCCTCAGTTACACTATTTGTTATCTTTTGTCTGGGCAACATTGTCTCCTTTCTATTTCAGAGCATAAATGCAATTTAACTCTTAGTTTTCAATTTCTGCAAGTGCAACAGGATTTTACCAATAGTGATTTAAAATTGCATTTTCCTCTGACTCATAGATAAAAATTAAAAAATTTTAAAAATATAATTTAATTGAGAAGCTCAAGCTTATCAGAAAGAGTATAAAAAAGCACTTTTCCATTTGCTGATTCAAGAACTGGCAAAACCATGAGTACTTAAACTTGAATATTAGGTATTCCATTGCTTAGTTCTCATTTTACCATATAAAGGGTAGCCAGCTTATAAAGAAATAAAGACTGACATTTCAAGCATTTCTAAAACATTTTCCATACACTAAGTTCAACTCATTTTTAGGGTATTGTTATAACAAAATAGACTTCATTAATGTAAAACGTTTGTACAATTCTTGTAGGTGAGTGCACTCACTAAGTCCAGACTATGTTGTATCTGGACTTCTTGGATTCTTGACTTCTGGGTTTTATGCTTGAGTGCCACAAAATTCCTGCATATACTGATGCAAATAATTCAGATTGCCTATGCCTCAAATATTCAATTCATCAAACAGCCTTAAACTCTAACCTACTACCCAGGACATAGTGAGATTAGAGATACTTATTTAAAGGTGAATTGAAAGATCTGCAAAAAAGTTAAAACGCTAAAATTGGGTTTTATTCCCCATCAATTTTAATTTGTATCTAAAGCAAAGAAATTTATCCACCTACCCCTGCAAACATTCCTTCCCCTAGTAATCCATTCCATAATCTTTTTTCCATCACAGGGCTTGCAACACTGTTCCACATCAAATGCACATTTGATACTTCAACTGCTTACCCTGTCACCAGACACAAGGTGGGTACCATTTGTACTCCAGTTTAGGACTGTAATTTTGGTGTTATGAGTTGGTGGCACAGCATGGTGCTCCTTGTCTTGTTTGTTAAGTATTGTAACTTCTCCAGTCTCCCAGCCTGCTGCAAGAATCGGCCTGGAAGGGTGCCAGGAAAGTGATGTGACCTGAAAGCTTTTCTCAACATGTGCATCAGACACATGTTCTCCCTGCAAATGGAAATAAAGTACAGGCTCAGTACAAAGATGAAGCTAAATTTTCAGATTTGATCTTTTCCTGTGATAAAGGACTGATATGTAACAGAACATCTGGTAAGACATATGAAGTGGCTACACAAAGTATTTATGGATATTTTGTGTGCATAAAAATGTGCTACGACATGCAGTACACCCATTTGAAAATAGCCTGTGAAAACACAGTGGTATTAAGGGATTGCCTCTCTCTGCTTTCCAAAGCTATTCCTCAACCCAGCGTGCATGAAGAGCTCTCACTGAATATCAAACTCTTATTCCTGTGTGAATGATAAGAAGGCTTCAATTACATTTCAAGGTAAAAAACAAAACAAAAAAACTTTTAAAAAGAATAAAGGACTTAATTTAGAACATGGAATAATCTAAACAGTTCTTTTAAAGGCAGGCTTTCCTTTGTGCATAGTTTGCTGTATTATTTCAGGCAAATCATTTAACCTCCTCATGTATTTATTTTTCTGTTTGTAAAATTTGGATGACAATTCTTAATAATGCTCTTTGAAAATTACATATTTAATAGACTACTTATTAACAGAGTTAAATGTTTCCAGTACATCTGCTGCTAGATAGATTATACTACCATTTCCCTAAGTAGCACAGATACTTTTTTCCCCTGGACATGATGCACGCTGAAGTGCTACACAAGCCTCTTGTGTAAAACTTATCAGAGTAGGCAGAGCAAATACCTGTCTACAGGCATAAACCATGTTAGTAAACAACACACTCAGATGGAACAAGTTGGGTCTAGCAAATCAGTTCAGGCTCAAGATGGAAGAATGATTTTTTATTCATACTTCTTAGTACATTTCATTCACAAAGGTTTTTTTAGAAAAAAAAAAGCATGAAGGGTTTTTTATAAAACACGTGTAATCTCATAGCTGATGAATCTGACATTTTCAAAATAGCACGGACAATAATTAAAACAGAGAGATAGGGATTCAAGGAGCATAAAATTGAAGTTTCAAAACAGCAGAATGTTATTAAGCCCAAAAGCAAAGTTGCTGATTACTCACCTGTTCCAGATAGATATCCACACAGCCCCCAGATGCTGTGCTGATGGAAGCAACTGCCAAGAGTGGATGGATCGAGTGCCACGTTATATGAGACGGGGAGGCAACTGACTCAGGAGCACCTACTCGGTGATCCACGTACACAGCCATCAGGAGCTATCACAGACTGCAAACCTGCATAAGGAAAAGAAGGGGTTGTAACAGGTCACAGAATGCTAAAAGTTGTTAATAAAAGAAGCTACCACACCACCTTCTTAATGTGCTCTATATAGAACACAGAAAAGGCTAAAAAGTTAAAAAATGCTGAGGAGTACTGGGCCTTGTAGCCATAGATCCACAACGTGCACAGACTAGCACCTGGTCTCTCCGTGGCTTATACTGCTTTACTTCAGAGGACTCTGAAGTAACTCGGAGTTTACCAAAAAAGGTATTTCTGGTACTTCATATCCGAAGATGTCAATGTACAGAGTGATCTCAGGTTGTGAAGCCTCATACCTGAGCTTTTTTCAAAGTAAGCTTTAACAGTTGTCACCATTTCAGAGCTTGTACTGTTGAAATTACTGGACAGATTAGTTTAACTCATTCAAGACCACAAAACCTGTCTGTATCTGAATGAAAATAATAAATGATGATTTTTCAAGAAAAAGAACCTGAAAGCAATGCTCTTTTTAGAGTTCTTTCTCAGAAATGGAGCAAGTCACTAAACATTTAAAAGTTTATACAGGGAGATTGTCTTTGGGATTTGTGTTGTATGATCTCATTGGCATCGGAGAAAAGAACAGCTGAGATAACCACCTCTTGAGCACCTCATTTATTAACAAACAGTGTCAAAACCTGAAAAATAAAAAATTCCTGGTAAAGGTTTAAGTGGTTCCCTTTCTGGGGAAGGTTTTTCTTATGGACAGCTAAACCATGAGCTATTAATCTGTAGGAACATGCACGCACAGCAGTTAGATTTTCCTAGGTCATCAATCAGACCCCGATTCAGTAGAGATTCTTGAATTACTCTCCTTACTTCAAATATTCCATCAGTGTTTCCATATTTTGTTTTAAGAGGGCTGTCTTCCCCCAGAAAAGAAAAATTAGATTCAGCACCTTCAATTAGATAGGCTGGAAAGGAAGGCAACATTTCAAAATAGACTGGTAGCTTTGTACCTTGCCATTGACATTAAGAACATGAAGTGCCACTGAAACAGAAACAAGCACAGTCAGCCTCCTAATGTGCAGTTTGATCTTTCAGCAAAACCCATTCACCCTTATGTTCACGCTCATTCACAATCATAGAACAGATTGGGTTGGAAAAGGCCTTAGAAGACCATCTTATTTCACCCCCCTGCCATGGCAGGGATGCCACCCACCAGATCAGGTTGGCCAAGGCCCCCTCCAGCCTGGCCATGAATACCTCCAGGGATGGGGCACCCACAGCTGCTCTGGGCAGCCTGTTCAGTGCCTCACTGCCCTCTGAGTGAAGAATTTCCTCCTAACATCTAACATCTAACCTAAATTGCCCCTCTTTCATTTAAAACCATTCCTCCTTATCTTATCATTATCTGACTAAGTAAAAAGTTGCTGTCCATCCTTTTTAAGCCCCCTTTAAGTACTGAAAAGCTGCAGTGAGGTCTCCACGGAGGCTTCTCAGCCTTCTCTTCTCCAGGCTGAACAACCCCAGCTCTCTCAGCCTTTTTTCATAGCAGAGGAGCTCCAGTCCTTTGATCATCTTCGTGGCCTTCCTCTAGACCCACTCTAACAGCCCCACATCCTTCTTGTGCTGGGGGCTCCAGACATGAGGCCCAAGTGGGGCCTCACAAGGGCAGAGCAGAGGGGCACAGTCACCTCCCTTGACCTCCACATCTGTACAACAACAGCACATGGATCTGGCTTTATTGCCACCTCCCCCCAAAAAAACAAACAAACTACAACAACAAAAACATTCAAGTACATATTGGACTGTTTTTCACCTTTATTTCACATTTTTGATAGTTTTATTGAATCTCCACATCTGTTATGAAATACTGTACCCATTCTAACACTTTCATATCTGCTTCTTTGTACTTTAACAAGGAAAAAGTTGGTCTATGTTTAAGTAAGCATTATACTGGCTCAAAAGTTGAGTTATTTGAGAAATTCACTTCAGATTTAAATAAAAATTTGAGACGCCTAAATAAAAAACATCTGGTAGGAAATAGATTTTACTACTCTAAATCGTACATCTGTAATTCCTTTAAGGACCACCTTTTTCAGTTTCCTGTTCATTGCATCTGTAATTGCAAATATTTCTTATTCGATTATTCAGTCTCCCCCAGAGAGGGAAGAAAACAAGTTTGTCGAGCTTACGGTCCCTTGACAATTCATTAATGTGTGCATCACGCCACGTTGTCTGCCTTACTACATACGTGAGTGTCCACTTAATCCAATTAGGAGAGCGGTATAGCTAACTGTCCCATTTGGAATTAAGTGCACACATTTAAGAGAGCAGACTGGCACTTACTAAAACAAGACTCAGTGATGCTGTCTTCACTGACAACCCCTAATATTTTTTTGCCATCTCAATAGCTATGCAAAATGGTGCAGTAGATTGCTGTATGTAAATAAATAGCCTACAAGTGGATTACACGGCAACATAAAGAAGTCACAAAGCCAGCATTCATTATGCTTGCTTATCCCCACGTTTACTGCTGCTTCAGTCTCATGCATTTACACTGACAGTTGCCTCCTCAAAGAAGTCTTCTCAAGGAAGAAACACAAGGACCACTTTCTACAAAAGATTCTGGCATAGCACGTCCTATTTTTTCAAGGTGAAAAAGAGAGGAATTTCTGACAAAGTTCAGCACTTTGAAGATCGGTGTAGAATTTGATCAAGCCCAGACAGCTGATCTCTTTAATAGAAGATATAACTGACCGACACCTTCCAACCACAGGTGCTTCATAAAAGTTATGTTAACATACACACAAAAGTAAAGAGATTCAAGGTCATTCCCTGCCCCTGTTCTTAACCAGCCAGACACAAGCCAGCTCTCGACCAGACACCGTACACCTGTGCTAACACGGCTCTGTGCTCGGGGTACCAAAACTTTTGGGAAGTTGTATTTCAAGGTTTAGTAGCTCACAGGTCATACAACACCAACACAGTAATGTGGTTTCTGGACTAAAGCAGACTGGTAACTGGCTGTCTCAGAGCATGGGCAGAGGAGCTGTATCTGTCTGTACCTACCCACTGAGGCACTCACCAGGATTTCACTTGGTCTCCGAACAGTTGCACACATAGGGGAAGATTTGCCTTTGGTATGGAGTGGTTTTCCTCCAGCAAAAAACTCACAATTTGTTACTTAGAAGCTGACATAGTGTTAAAGTATATTACAAGCCAAACAGCTTTGATCTGTTTGGATTTTCAGGAGCCCAGGTAAGCAGGCTCGAGATTCCTCCCGCTGCAGATCCCAGCGTTGTGCCAGCACGCACGGACACACCGCAGAAGACAGTCACCTGCGCCCCGATACCCCACTCTGATTTAATCTGAATGTAATTGTGCTGTTCTGCTTTTGGTGACAATTCTTAAAAAGTTACTTGTGCCCTGTATGGACACGTTGTGAGCGCGTTTAGAGACGAGGCAGGCTGACAAAGGCGAGGTTTGCTGCCCTTTGGCACAGCGTCCAGCCGCAGGCTCCCCAGAAGCCCAGCAGCGGGGGGCTCACAGGGCTGTCTCAGCACGCACCGCAGCGTTTCCCCAACACTCGGGCACTTCTGTAAAAAGCAGCGCTCCTCCTGCGACCCCCCTCCCGCCAGAAAGCCGAGCTGTAACTTTACAGCGCCTACAAGCGCCGCTTTCACCCCCCAGGGCCCACCCGAGCCGCCCCCGCGAAGCCGCCCGCGGGCCCCCGAGGCTGCGGCCGCGCCCCCCGCCGCGAGCAGGCCCCGGGCAGGCCCCCCCCGCCCCGCACCCCCCCCCCCGGGTCCCCGCCGCCCCGCAGCCGCACGCACCCGTCCTCAGCAACCGGGCCCGGGCCGAGCCTCAGCGCGCTCCCGCCGCCGTCTCCCGGGCCGCCCGCCGCGGACGGCAGCGCGCACTGCGCGGCCCCGCGTTGCCGTGACAACGGGGCCAGCCGGCCCGAAACGGCCCCAGAGCGCCCCCCGGGCACGGCCTGAGGCAGCCCGAGCAGCCCCGAGGCCGGGCCCTGCCCCGCCGGCAGCCCGAACCCCGCTGTAAGGACACGGAGGTGCCAGGGCACGCCCGAATCTGGTGAGGGGTCCGGGGAACAAGTCCCCTGAGGAGCAGTGAGGGGTGCGGGGTTGTTTAGCCCAGAGAAAAGGAGGCTCAGGGGAGACCTTAACACCTTAAAGGGAGCTATCAGGGATCAGTCTCTTTTTCCCACATACTAAGAGATAAGAGGAAACAGCCTCAAGTTGCACCAGGGGAGGTTTAGGAAAAATTTGACTGGAAGGGTTGTGAAGTACTGGGACGGGCTGCCCAGAGAAGGGGCTGAGGCACCGTCCCTGGGGGCCTTCAACAGCACTCAGATGCAGCGCTCAGTGACCCGGCCGAACAGTGTCCTTGGCAGGGCTGCGTTAAAGGGTGGACCAGACCATCTCAGAGGTCTTTTCCAGCCTAAGTTATTCCATGATCTAAAACCACTGACCTGCTATGCTCAGGTCACCATCTCACAGCTTTCACAATTACCTGGTTCCACTGTTACACAAAGTTCTGCCTGATACCTGAACTACATACACCTGGTTAAATAACCTGTAACAAAGGTTATTATCTCATAAGCAGAGCATCCCAGGATGCTGTGGCCTTCCCTCACCTGAGTACTGCCCTCACGAAAGAGGCCTGATCACTGCAGAGACCCTGAGGCCCCAGGACACACCAAGAACGTGCTTCGGCAGCACAGTCACAGTGGATCTTAGCCTTTCCTCTAAGGGCTTGACCTCAGCTGCTGAGAAAAAAAGTACAGCTGTGATTAGGTGACTCCTATTTAGTAAGACATGAAAGATTAACAACAGATGTCTGACCTTTGGTTTAAATCCTCTTACCTGAATGGGAAAGAACTGCTTTGCTAACAAAAATCATCCATTATCATTTGCTAGATTAAGGAATTTAAGAGCTTTGTATGAACAAATAAATTATGAAATGTAATAGCTAAGTGACCTAAAAGGAAAACTCAGGACAACATCTACTATGTTGATTTTTTTTACATCTAAGGCCTTTGAGCAAATAGTTTCATGTTGTAATTAGTGTAATAATCACGCACTTGAGATGCAAATTGAGACTACCACAGACAATAAGTATGCAGTGCACACAATTTATTCACCTTAAAATACACAGGATGCCCAACAAACCAAGTTAGGGTTCTTGCCTAGTCCAGAGAACAATGGCAACAAACAGGGACTGTTCGCATTTTGTATCTGTGCAGGTTTACACAAGCGTGATCATGGAGACCTCCCTACCACTAAAACAGAATGAAGAAAAGTTCAAGTGTCTTTTGACATCTCAACCTTCCCCTTCTCTCTCAGCTCTCATCTAATGCCTTTTTATTCAGTCTCTTTCATGGACATTTATGCACATAGGCAATTTTACACCATAACCGTCTACGTGAGGCAATGGGGCTATTCAAGCACATGAAGTTATTTACATGCACAGAGAATGGGAACTTTGAGCTCCGTGGGGAACTGAAGGCACCTTCACATGTTTTTGCGAAGAACCATGGAAATGAACTACACAGCACTGTAGATGCAGAATGCATCATTTCCTGTCAGTAATGTTAAATTTGGCTGTGGTCAAATCAAGTGGCAAGAATATTTGATATAAACCATATGATCTTGCACTACATTCTAACAAGACTGAAAAAATACTCTCAACAAACTAACATGTAAGTTTAAATACAAAGCTTTACAGTTGTGACAAGACCATTAAGCTATTTGGCTCTTCTTGGTTTAAGAATTCAATTTGCAACAATATACTCGTTACTCATAGCTATGCTTTACAGCATATTTAGAGATGACAAAGCCTGAGGCGTGTTTAAATTTAGCTCACTGTCATGAGAGTTACTTGCGACACTCTCCACAGGACCCTGCCTTCCACAATTTACCTGCCATCATAAAGGTCAAATGGCTGAAGTATTGATTCCTAAGCTACAGATTATGAATTTTTCCTCAACGGAACAGGACTAACGCATCCTACCCTGCTAGGATATTCAGGAAGTTTTAAAAAGATGGGTATCCAATATTTTTTCATAAATACTTTACTAATAGCTATTAAAGAAAAAATCTCATACAAAAATTTGTTTTAAGATTTTTGGAAATTACTTTCATTATCAGTTAACATGAGATTGCCACATCTAAGTGCAGAACAATGGCCACTGGAAAACAGGACAAAAGATTTCATGCACTAATCTAATTCAACCCTCACTTATTTCGTCCATCACTGAATAAAGCTCCCTTAATCCTGGAGATCATTTACTAAGCAAAACTCACCAGCCCACCTAATGATACCTATATGAACTCAAACATCACAAGAAGACTTCAATTTGGGACGATGACAGGCCTTCCCAGGAGATTTTATATTTATTGCTTTCAGTACATCACAACACTGAAGAAAAAGCTGATTAAAATCCTGAAGTGGTAACAAAGGTGCTGCTAACCAAGCACCTCAGCAGCACGCTCAGCCTGCGGGCCCCCCTCAGCTCAGAGCCTTCCAGAAGCACGGCTGCCATTTCGGGATGGCCCAGTCTTGGCAGCTCTGTGGGCAAGCCTCCAGTGCTCAGCTATACTTCTAACGCTGTTCTTTGTAAGAACTCCCACAATATTTGCCCCGGCGCCGAGCCCAGCGCGCCCTCGCCCCGCTCCTCACTACTGGAAGCGCCTCCTCTTCCGGCGGGCGCTATAAATAGAGCGCCGCATGCAAATCAACATCCCTCTAGCCAATGAAAACCCAGACACCGGCCATTAGCCACCCTTCTAGCCAATCAGCAGCCACCTCGCGGGGCCGGCCTCGCCGTCGGCCGGCCCCCAGCTGCCGCCTCTTCCCCCGCCGGACGCCGCCGTCACCCTCCCCGCGCCGCGCGCTGATTGGCCGGCGTCGGCGCCGAGGCCCCGCCTCCCGCCTCGCTCCCGCGTGCCGCCAGCCAATGGCGGCCTTTGTTTGGGGTCCCGCCAGGGGCGGCCCGGCGCGCCCGGCCAGGCCCGGCGCAGGCTGAGGAGGAAGCGGAACCGCGGCGGGACCCAGCGCCCGGCGCCCCGCACCCAGCGCCCCGCAGCCACCCCCGGCCCGCCAGGGAGCCGCGGCTCCGGCTCGGGGGCGCTGAGGCCGGCCGGCGAGCGGCGGGGCAAGGCGGCCTGCCCCGGCCGGCGGCAGCGCTGGGAGGGCCGCTGGAGGCCGCGGGGGTCGCGGGGCGCGCCGGCCTCCGCCCGAGCTGGCGGCTCTGGGGCGCGGCCTGCGGGTGCCTGGCGCTGCGGGGGGCGGAGGAGCCGCAGCGGCCGCCGCCGGGAGAGCCGGAGCGCGGAGGCTGCGGGGCGGCGTTGATGCGGCAGGTAACGCTGCGGGCACCGGGGGGGGGCGGCTCCGCGGGGCCCCCGGGGGTCCCTGGGGCCGGAGCCCCCGGCAGCGGGAGGGGGCGGCGCTGGGGGTGCGGGGGGAGCCGGGGTTTTGGGAGCGGCGCTGGACGAGGGCGGTGTGGTGGGGGGGGGTGCGCCTGAAAGCAAAAGGGAAAGCGAAAACAGCGGGGGGGGGGGGACGGGGAGAGCCCCCGCTGGAGGGTTTGGCCAGGATGCTGCCAAGGGGGGTGGGTGCTGGGGTGGCCGCCCCGGTGTCCTAACGCGTTCTGAGGCTGCCCCAGAGCCGTGTGGTGCTGGGGGAGAAACCCTTCTGGCAGGGATTGCTGGGGGCAGCGCAGCAGCTGCGTCGTCTGACTTGTGGGAATTGGGATCAAGGAGGTTTGAGTCCTCTCAAAGTTCATATATTTTTGAGCACAAACTGTCAGGGTTTGAAGCTTTCTGTCACCACAGCGACTGAAAATATTGTGACTTTTTTACACGGAGAAGACTTCTGTTGGCGATCAGGGCTCCGTCAGGTTCCATATGAAGTTTTAATATGAACTTAGATTTGCACTTCAAACCAGCTGACAGGGCTTTTCGCAAAGAATGGAGCATTGCCCTGCATTGTTCTGAGCTGCTAGGTATGGTAGAGCTGTTAGAGGGAAAAATAACACTTTAGTAACAGGAACAGAGCCCGCACACTGTAACAACACGCATCCAGGTGCCCTGTTATGCTGATGCACCTGGCTTACTTTAAAACACTCCATCCTGGTATCAGCCCGATCCGTTGCAATTCCATCATTTTATTAGTGATATTTGGAATTTCCTTCTCCCACTGGCGTTTATCTTTGCCCTTAATTAAAGTTGGACTGTGGCTTCGTGCTGGCGATAAGGCACTGCGAGCGCCACTTCTCCCTTCTGCTGCGGAAGGGTTTCTTTCGTAGAAGTTGACTTCTGGATCTGGTGCCAGGCCCGTTTTTACACTCTCTAAAAACTGCTGTTGGCTTGTAGCAGATAACGGGGTCTAATGCCTGAAGCTCCTGTGCGTGTGCAGGTTCTGGTGCTCTGTTCCAGGTACCCCCGTGCCGGGCAGGTTTCCGCAGGTAGCGAGGCCACCCCGCATGGCACCCAAATGGCAGCCGGGGCGTTGGGGCGCTTTGCTCGCCGCCTCTCGCAGGGTGCCGAGCGCTGTCCCGGCAGCTGCGGGTGTAAAACCCCGAGCTGGCCCCGTGGAGGCGAGGGGGGGGGGGCCCTTGGGGTGCCCCCTGAGCTAAAAGCGGCGAGAAGCGAGCGAGGGGGCTGCGGGGGGCCGGGCCCCTGCCGGGCCGTGCCGGGCTCGCCGCCGGCCGGGCGCTGCTCGGGGCCGGCTGCCCGGGGCCGGCTGCCCCCTGGGGAGGGCCGGGAGGTGCGGGGTGGGGGCGGAGGGGAGCTGGCAAGCTTGGTCGCCGTGGCCAGTCCCAGCCCCAGCCGCACACACACACACACAGGGAGGAGGAGGAGGAGAAGCCGCCGCCGCCGCAGCGAGGAGCATGGAGCCCCCCCCCGCGGCGGGCCGGGCCGGCTGGGCCCCGCGGGGAGGAGGCCGAGGAGCCCCCCCCGGGCCCCCGCAGCTTCGCAAGGGGTAGGATGGGGGCGAGCCCCGGCCCCGGCCCCGCTGCCCCGCTCCGCCGGGCCCGGCGGCTGCCTCGCTCCCTCCCTCCCTCCCTCCCTCCCTCGCCGCCTGCCGAGCGCTTCCAGCGCCCGAGTTGGCCTCGGCGATTTATTATTATTATTTTTTTTTTCCGCCCGAGGCTGCCCGAAGGCCTCCGGGGGGCTGCTGGGGGAGCCCCGCAGCCTTTTGGGCCGCTTTGGGGGGGATTCCCGCGGGGCTCTCCCCTCCCGCCCTCGGCACAGGTTGTTGGGTCGGGACAGCAAACGAAAGGGGATTTAGTAACAAACAACGGCGGCCATGTTGAGAGGAATTTCTGCAGCTAAACTTCTCCCCTCTCAGCCCAGGGGTTTCTCCCCCTCTCTGGTGGGCTCCCCGGCCTGACTTTGTGCCCCCCTCTTTTCTTTCTCTCCTCCCCAACAGGATGACGGTGAAACTGGGCGAGAGCAGCGGGGAGGAAGGGGTGAAAAAGCTGGGCAAGAGAGCAGGAGGAGATGAGGAGTCCCTGGAAGAAGAAGGGGCAGGAGGAGGAGGAGAGGCAGCTCCAGGCAGCAGCAGCACAAAGAAAGAAGAGAAGATCATCAACAGCAACACTAACAGCAGCCCCTCACCGAACCCCAGCTTGGCCCAGGCCCCGGCTGCCCTCCAGCCCTCCCACAGCCAGGACCAGCATCATTTTCTCAGGTCCAGTGTCAGACCTCAGAGCAAGAGGCTGAAGAAGGATTCTCAGGCATCCTCTTCAGTTGGCAGCAGCACTGCTGTAAAAGGCAAAGGTACAGTATTTTGGAACCCTCAGAACACGCAGGCGAGCGGGGTGTGGGTCACTGTGTTTGGGGGTTGTCATTCTCCTCCTGCAGATGCCATCTTTTGTTTGGTTTTGGGGAAGGTGTTCTGGGGCTTGTTTCGCACAGTAGCTGAAATCTTCTTTGTGTCCCAAGGCTTCAGCTTCTCTGCTGCCCACTCTCCCGTTTGCACTTGCAAAAATGGAGGGATTTGGATGTGTATGTGGAAGAGGGGAGGAAAAAAAAAAGCCCTTCATTATTGAAGCAAACCTTTAATTCCTGCATTTTGTCTCTTGAGTTTTAGGAAATCTCTGTATTTTGGTTAGGAAATTAGACTCTAACAAGCTGTGTAATCAGGTGGCTGCACTCTGCATTCTGTCATTGAATAATAACAAAATATTAAATGGGTGGTAGTTTTAAAAAAAGGGGAAAAAAGCTAACCACAAGATATTGATGATTTCTCTCATTTGTGTGACTGTTTTACTCAAGGAACTATTTTTGAAACAGTTAAATACACATATTGAACTATTTGTTTCCAAGGTTTTGTGAGTCACTAGTACTGCATTACTGTTTCAGAACACTTAAGGGATTTTCATGCAATTTGATGTTTCTACTTTTTTTTTTTAATAAGGTTGCTCTGTATACATCTATGCATGCATATTTTTACATACGTATACATTTTTTTTTTTACTTTAGCATTGAGGATGAGAGTATGTTTTTTTCAAAGCTGTTTCTTCCTGAAGTAGCTGGAAAAGAGCAAGGATATTTGAATATCTTGGTGCTATTGTGTGTGCTCAGCAGTTACGGGCAGACACCTGGTACTGTAGCTGAGCTGCGCTTGAGACTAATTTTGGATACCTTGCACAAAAGTTCTTGTGTTATTTTCTGTTAAGTTTTGAAAAGAATAACACTTGTCGATTTCTTTAAGATTTGAAATAGCAGAATTTATTTTTGTCTGCTGAAACTAAATAAAACTCCATGTAGCATAAATGTATATTGAACGTTACCTCACTTTTTTGGTCCATTACAGTGGCATGCACTTGCTGGACTTTAGATAAACACTAAGAATTGTGGCAGTGTTGTGTTGCAGTAAGAAAGCAGTGTTTTACATATTGCCACCTTTTAGTTATTGCCATATAATGTAAAAAATACTGAATTTAGTTGTTTCACAGTATATAATTGAATATTTTCAATACCTTTATAAATCCTCTATAATCTCTTAAACTTTTTTGATCTAAGTGAACACCTTCCATGTGTGGTGTTGGGGGATAGAGCAGAAAGGCCTGCGTAAATTTTCTCCCAGCTGCATTAAACCAAATAAACAAACAGATGGAATACCCAGGAGTCTTTAGCTACAGACAATTATTTCAAGGGTTGTAAGTAGCGTTAAATGGGAGGAGATACTCCTTTACCCATAATGGCTGAGTGTAATATGTGCATTTGCAGTTCCATTGCTTTGGAAGTGCCTGCACATGTGAACAAAATACGCGCATCTTGCACATGTGTACACGTATATTCATATTTTTGTATTTGTACATAAACATTCACTTACGTTTTAGAGGAGCGGAATGATATTTAATGAGGTGTATTGATACAGTTGAAAAGCAGACTCTGTTTTGCAATTCAGATCCCAAAATAACTATAATAAATGTATGTATTAATCATACATGCAGAACAGGTTTTAATATTTCAGTAATTGGTCATAGATAGGCAATCACTGTACCTGACTATACTGTCAGGTTTGGAGAAACTTTCAGTTATTGGGGGAAACGGTCACTGGTAGAATGACAATTACGCTTTCACATTTTGAACTGTCAGACCAGCCACAGCTTTGCCTGGCCGGTTTAGATGTGAATGTATTAAAACTGATACTTCTCTGATATGGCTGAGGTTGTAACTGTGAGATCTTGGAGAACAGAGCCATGGAGTGGAATCCTTTCGAATTGGAGCTCTTTACAGGGAGAGACACTTTCCAGGCTTGTCTGGATTCTCCCTAATGAAATGTTTTGTGCTAAGAAGTTCTGGGGGTTTGCATTCCAAGTGAAGCGTCCCCCAGAGCTAGCTTCCAGTAGGGAACAGGTTGAATAGTGAAGATTACCAATAAGGATTGTACAAAAGTCCTTACACTTGCTGGCCCACCAACTTTCTCCTCCTCTGTAAGTACAAAAATGATGAAGAGCTCAAATGCATTTGCAGTCCTTTGTATCAGCTCCGAAAGTTGGAAGCTTTTGCGTTTTGCATGGCACAATCAAGGTGGTGACTGCAAAGGTAATGGTGCCATGGGCCAGCAGGAGTGTCAAGACCATTCTTACGTTTGGTCTGGTGAAACCAGAAACTTGGTTGTGTCGTGATCTTTCAATAAAGCTACGTCACCCTTGAAATTATATTAAAGTGGTCCTGCCTTTAGAATATGTGTATTCTAAAGTGAAGTCTCTTTTGAAGGCTATTATTAAGGAATGTGATCATTAAAATTAATTTCTTTCAAATTGTAGTTACACAGCAGGCATTGATTTATCCCAATCATGTCTTTAAAAGCCATTTGAAAATAGCAGTATTTTCTAACAGATCCCTTATAATTTTTTTGCATTTATGCTTTGAGGGTACTCTATTGCAGCAAACAAATTATTCTTAAAGTAAACTTCATTGCATGCAGCAGGAAAAGTTTGCCTGCTCAACAGCTGCAGACTTTCTGACTTTATCTTACTATGGTTCAGAGAGGATATTTAATAATAATTCTCGAATTCTGCCTAGTAAAATAAATAAACACACTCCTAATTTTCAGATCTCCCTGATACAACGTTTAATTATGGATTTCTTTACTTTTTATTTTTGTTTTTTATTCTGGATCTTTGTGTACCGTTGTTACACTTTAACTTTAGAGCAAAAATGACGTAAAAATATTATAGTAAAATAAAGTTTGAGAACTGTTTAGCTTCTAAAAGTCACACCATTTTGATTGCTAAAAGGTTTATCAAAGTTCCTGCACAAGTATCTAAATATATGTATTTTTTTTAGAATGATTATCTTATTTTCAAATATTGATCATCTTTTTATTATTTCAAGTTCATAATCTGTGCTCTAAACAGTGGAAGTAGTGGAATAGCTTGGAAGTAAGTCTTTAAGTAACTTTTGTGCACGAAACCAGAGAAGGAACCTGAAGGATTGGTGGGGTGCAGTCGGTTGATTGAGAGCTCAGACACAGGAAGGTTTTTTGAGGGAAAAGAAGCAGCCCCAATATAAGGTCACTGACGAAAAGGCATTTCTAGGAGTTTACTTCTCAAATGCTGATATGCCACGCTGTTGCCACAGGTTTTAAGGTGTGTTTTGTGGCACTGTGAAGCAGTGAGTGGTGAAAACGTGTGTATGTTGTGACCACGTTAGTAAAAGTAAATGCAGACTATGTTGCCATCGTATGCTGTAGATGTACTAGGAACTAAAGTAGGGCGTTCTCATTTTCATGTTTTTATTCATTTTCTGAATGCATAATGAAGCAGGGAGGAAATAGTAACAAAATCTAATGGTGACGAGCTGAAGCTTGAAAGCGTCTTTCATGCTGTTACTCTAGACTTATTCATAAAACGTGTAATAAGCAGTTTTCTTTAAAAATAAATTACTCAGCTGAAAGCATTAATTGAATTAAAACATTCAATCTTTGGGCATTGCATAAAACTCACTGGAAAGCAGTTCACAGTTTGTTTTGGCCCAACAAAGTTGCATGTTCTGTAGTATGTGAATTAAATTAACTACTGGGTCTTCCTGTGGAGAGGCTGTGTAGACCAAGGTATGATTTTACCTTGCAGTATGATTTTATAATATCTTTGCAGATTTGTATGCTGAAGAATGTATCGTAACCTGCATGTGAAATGCGATTCCTCCAGCATTATTTCTTTGGGGAATGAATGACAGTTTTAAAGACTGCCAGCACAGTCCCTCGTTCTAATATTCTTCTTAATTCTATCAATCTCATTTCCTCTTGGTACCTCTCTTCCCGTCCTAAACTGAGGTGCTTTCATTTATGCTTTTTTCCTCCCTCCCTTCCCTTGAAAGTGGCTCAGAAATCATGCAGAGTCTCATTCCACACTACGAGAGGAGGGTTTTGTTTGGTGTGCCCTATGCTGTAGGTACTGAGCTTTGAAAGGTGGCTGCCTGCAAGGCACATGGCTGCACAACCACATGGTTCAGCGAGAGCCTTGTACAAGGTGCTTACAATGCATTCTTCTCTTTAAGGGTGTTTTCTGATGGAAGAGCAAGAGAATGAATTACTTGAGGTGGGGGAGTAACCAAATTTATAATAAACCACCGTTATTTTTTACAGTCACGTTTGGTTAGCTCAGATACAACTTTATTTGATTGCTTGAATGTGTGCTGTCCATAGACAAGTGAGCCTTCAGTTCAGTATAGTAACGTGTGTGTGTTTATATACGTATATATTTATACACACACACACACACACATACATATGTATCAGGAGTGTAGACTCCTGCTGCTAACTGGCACTGCATATGATTAAAAACATTCGACTATATCTTGCTTTTGCAAGTCTTCAAAATAGTAAGAGATGGAAGAAGCTAAACTAATTTGTCTTTGTAGGACATTGACATCTTTTATTTAAAACTTTGGATGTTAATTCGTAAGAGGAGCATAATACGGTGTGAACACACAACATGGCTGTACTGGATCGGCCTTCCTAGGAGCCCGTGCCATTTGCCACAGAGGCATACAAGGTCGAAACCCACTTCCCAGTTAAAATGTTAATCCTCAAACTGAAGCATTGACATGCAAGGAATGTATTGGTATCTCTCCTTCTCTTGTCTGTATTCTCTTCTCATCTACAGTTCTTGGAGAGGAAAGCAAATTGGATTTAGCTGCAGCTTTGTTGGGTCCTTCCATGGAACAAATGGCTTCACTTAAATTCCTGTGTATCTGATGCATTTCTTCTCTGAAGTACATGATGCAGTATCTAACTTCAGAAAGATACATGGCTAAAAATGGGATTTGTTTAACAAATGACCAGGAAGAAAGTTGGGACATGCCTTTGCTTTTTTTCATTAAAATTGAGGAGTGGATGCCTACCGAGGAATGCTCTGCCGTGAGAATAGCAGAATGCATTTGGAAGCCATCTGGGAACCATAGATTATTAGCACCCTGTCCAGTTCTGTTGGCAACAAATGTTTGGATGTACATTTCCAAAGACTGCTAAGCACTAGTACAGGTTTGTGAGGGGGAAAAATACTCAAAAGCGTTTTCTACTGTGGCCTTCTTAATGGCAGTCTTTGCTGAGAAATGCTTTCAAAGATGGTACCGTGTAGTTGAACCTTGTTACTGGCTTGTATAGAATCTAAAACAAGGAAACATGCTGTGAAGGAAACTTCATGTCATGGTACAAGTTGGCATTTGCATCCTGTGCTTCGGAGAGGGAGTTCAGTGTTTTACACTCCGAATTTGGGTGACAACATGCAAGAATCTGTGAAAGCGTCATCTCATTTTTAAAGGTATTTCCTAGTAGATGTTCCCCTTGCATTTGACTGGTGACTCCTGAAGAAGTTCACATTTTGCAACTGACCCTTTAGAACACCAATGGGGAAACGAGCCTGCATGTTGAGACACATGAGCGTAGTGGGGATTAACTGCTGAATGGCAGCCTCTAGAATCTGTAAGATACTAATCAGCTGGCATCTAAGAGCTGATAGTGTAAAATTGAAGAGTAAACACAAAGATGCTACCTACAGCCTAGGAGGATGAGTAGGCAGAGTGAGGATAACGGTCTTGTCTTTGTCTTGTCTGCAGTGATCTCACATAAATGTCTGTATGTAGAAGAAGCACCTAACCGGGTTGTTTGAGTAAGCTCCCCTCCTCTCCAGCAGTTTTGCAGCATTTGTGGGTACGGCTGGCCTTGATGGAACTCTGTTTTAATGCGTTAGTTAAACTTTAAATAATCTGTTGTTGGGATTTAATGATGATTATCATCTGTCATTACTGACAGGATGGAAACTTGTTAGCTGTTTTGCCTATTATGAGAATCTCATACAGTAAGATTGAAACAATGAATTTATAGGGTGAGATGTACTAATGTATGACTATTTTTACTTTTGCCTTTATCCTCAATTGTTTTATAATGTTATGTTTTAGAATACACTGCATTCCATTTCCTTACTGAGATCCAGTAAGCTGCAGAGTGGATTGTGGTAACGCAAGGATAGATATTACTGTGCACAGTAGCAAGGAAGATACTGCAAACACATGGTAGAGCAAAATCCTTTGTTCCTGGAATAATTGAGTGGCGTGTAAGATCTCTGTGGAGGTAACAAGATATTAGAATTTTTAAATCTTCACACGTTACTGTAAACATTTCTCTGGACAGTGATTTATTTGTGCTTAAAACAAGAAAGAATGTGATGAACTTTCCAGGATTACAATTTGTCATTCCAGGACTCTGTCTTGTAGAACAGTAAGTAAACCGAAAGGAATGAAGGAGCGGTATTGAGCTACGCAGCCTTGGTAGAAGCTGGATCAGTGGAGTCCTTCCTTAGCATGTCCTGAGGGGAGGATCCTTGATAGAATTGTTCTTTTCATTTCATCTTTTACATGCAGCTAAGTGGAAATCTGCTGAACTTTATAGTCTCACTAGAATTTAAAGTCCTTTCTGATAGCTTTGATAGTCCTTTCTTAAGTTTCTATTAAAAACACTTCATGAAAACTTTGTGTACCAGTTGTGCTGTACAATCTTTAGAAAATCCTTGATAAAATCTGTACTTACAGCATCTGACCTTAGGTTTTTACTTGATCATGTATACACAGATGATTAAAAAAATACATCTATATACCTATATCTATCCTATCTAGATCCCTATATAGATAATACCTATACGTAGATAGGTATAGATGTATATATAGAGGTGGTTCCTGTAAACGATTTGCAAGAAAGTTAGGTCTGCTATCAGAAGAGTAGCTGCACAGTAGAAATCCGTAGATGTCTTGTGATAAAGATGGTCTTTTGCACTGGGAGCTTGCAGCAACAGGATGTTGTTGTACGTTGAGGTTGAAGACTGATGTATTCACCTTTCTTGACCAGAGATTTTAAATATTGAGATTTGTATTTCTTTCCCATGCAAATTGTCATATTCCAGTCTCACGTTTGCAGGGTGAAGAAGCAATTCTGGGTCTTACAAAGAGCTGCTTATCTTCTCAGCCACCCGTTAAAGTGTCTCAGATCTTTCTAATTATTTTTTTGAAGACTTGTCTTCGTAGTATCAGAAGTAAACTGCTTAACTTTGTCTTCGTAGTATCAGAATTAAATTCCTTAACTTTGAGTTATTTTGTGATGAAGGTTTTAGGAAATAGAGGAGGTTGGTTGGTTGTTTTCCCCAGAAGTTGTTTTAGGTGAATTTTCTTATAGTTACGTGACTCTATTTCATGCTTTGCCTTATTTGCTTCTTTGTGGTGGCAGTAATTTTCTTTGAAAGGATCAAATAACAGTTTTTGGAAATAAAAAATAACTTTAAAATGGTCACAATATCATAATATGTATCAGGTATATACTTATTGCAGGAAAAAAGTGCTTTCATGCGTTTTACTCTGTTCTAAATTTTTTCATATATACTTTGTTGCTTGAACATACTGCTGCTCTAGGATTTGGAGCAGTGTGGTTTTGTAGTCTCAAGGAACTCCTTGTGAAATGCAGCTGAGTAGTTACAGTTAAGATTTACATACAAGCCCTTCAAATCTTTAAATCGGAGCAAGCCTTTAAAAATTGATCCTTCTGATACTCTTTTTTATTTTAATATAATTCAAGATTATCGAACTGGGATATCCGAGCTATGTAATTAACACAGACTTTGTCAGGTATGCAAACTGCTTCAGATAACTGAATTTCAAAAGATAACTGAGCTGAAGCCAAGTGCAAGGTCGTGCACCTGGGACAGGGCAAACCCAAGTGCAGATACAGGCTGGGCAGAGAATGGCTTGAAAGAAGCCCTGATGGAGAAGGACCTGGGCGTGTTAGTTGATGAGAAGCTCAACTTGTGCTGGAAACGTGTGTTTGCAGCCCAGAAAGCCAAATGTATCCTGGGCTGCACCAAAAGCAGCGTGGCCAGCAGGCCAAGGGGGGTGACTGTTGCCCCATGGCCTGCTCTTGTGAGACCCCACCTGGAGCCCTGCATTCAGGTCAGAGACCTCCAGCACAAGGACATGGACCTACTAGAGTGAGTCTGGAGGAGGGGTCACAAAGATGATCAAAGGCGTGGAGCACCTCTCCTATACAGACAGCCTGAGGGAGTTCAGCCTGGAGAAGAGAAGGCTCTGGAGAGACCTTACAGCGGCCTTCCCGTACCTAAAGGGGGCTGCAGGAAAGCTGCGGAGGGACTCTTTGTCAGGGGTGTAGTGATAGGACAAGGGGTAATGGCTTTAAACTAAAAGAGAGTGTTTAGATTAGATGTGAGGTTGAAATTCTTTCCTGTGAGGGTGGGGAGGCACTGGAACAGTTTGCCCAGAGAAACCGTGGGTGCCCCATCCCCGGCAGTGCTCAGGGCCAGGTTGGACGGGGCCTTGAGCAGCCTGGTCTAGTGGGTGGCATCCCTGCCCATGGCAGGGGGTTGGAACAATGCTGCACTGATAAAGGCAGTCCAATCCTTATTCTCAGAAAAAATGGAGGAAATGTATTTTTGAAGTGTAAGTTATTGAGTGCTTACATTTTCATGGAAAAAATTGAGTGCTCTCCATTGGGTTTCTCCCTGGTTTCTGGATTCTGATAATCTGTTAAAATGGCAAACCAAATACCATGCTTGGTTTGATTTCTCTTGTGAATAAATCACATATTTAAGGTTGGTTGATAATGTTTGTAATGATTAAACAGTCTTTTGAAGACTTACCATTCCAGAGGTGAATTTAAAATATATTTTATTCTTTGGAATTAACGTGTGGGGAATCTTGTTGTGTTATACATAGCTATTGAAGCTTCCAATCTTTCTTCACTACTTGCAAAAACAGCAAATTCCTGAATCATTCCCTGAGTGACTCCCTGAATTAGGTTCTTTGGGGTGCCAACAACTGACAAACATAGAATCAAGATTACATTTCTGTGCCTTTTTCCAAAAGCCACGTCAGAATCTGTGGTACGAAGAGGGATTGGGACTTGCCATCATTTGTATAGCTTGAATTATCCTTGTAATTTTCCCAGGTGGACTTAGTTCCTCCCTTATATGTGAATCCTCATATTGGTTTAATATTCACACCAGTCGTGTTTTTTGCAGCAGCAGATAATGGAGGATCTGCATCTGGCGGCACATCAGGAATTCCTGCCAGCAATCCTACTGCAAATTCCAAGTCAGCAGCAAGGAACCTGGGCTCCTCGGCTGGAGAGAAGGAGGAAGGAAAGAAGGTCAGACGTCAGTGGGAATCGTGGAGCACAGAGGACAAAAATACTTTCTTCGAGGGACTGTATGAGGTACATGTAGTGGAAAATAACCAACTTAGATGGCTTACTTTGGTATGTGGGTATTCCTAAAGAATGTTGATTTAATTGGGATTTGCAAGAGCACCACCCATATGCATATATTGCATTTGTTTGTGCATATGTGTGTCTATGCAGTTGGCTATACAACAACTGTGGATCAAAGCCACCTTTCAAAACGGTCAAGTTTTTTTTCTGAAATACATTGGAAATCTGTGTGGATTTTATTCACGAATGTTAATAGAACCATAATAAAAAATGTTATTATTTCATGTATGAAGAAGTCAAGTCCCCATCTCAACTTTGAAAAGCAACGCACTCATGCTGTAATATTTGCAAAATAAGAAAATGCATTTTCTTTTAAACTGTCACAGACACTGTGGTGTTTTGAGGATAAGCAGACTTAAGCCATTTCAGTAATAGGGTCGAGAGACAAGGAAAAGTTAGGTCATCTCACTTTTTATCTCATATGTTTTATACAATATGTTCCTGGTTGTCCTGTTCTTACAATTATTTTTAAGAGCACTTCTGTTAAAAAAAACAGGTGCTAAAGGGGAAAACAAAATAAATGCTTATGGGTTTATTTGTGTTTTTTTTTTTAGTGGTAAGTGTGATTCATGTGTATATTTTGTGGAAAAAAGTGAACAATTAAACTGTTTTCTTTTAAGTCCCTCCATCACTGAAAGAACGTTTGTTTTCCTGCTTCCATTCATTTCATGCTGTTACCTTTCAAAAGAGGTTGTCATACTTTGTAGTCATACTTGAATCAAGTGTTTGAATTTTGAGAAATTTTATGATACAGGAATTCAGTGGTAATGTTCTTAAAATTATTTTTTCCCTTTTTTGGACTCCAGGGATTTTATGGGAATTAAATAATTTAAGGGGACACTTAACGTGTCTTCTTTTTACCCTGAGAATAAGCTTCTAAATAACTTAATGTAAAAGGGTGTTTTCTGCTTAAGAAACAAAACAAGAAAACAAAAGAAATAATCAAAACCTAACAACTCTTCCTTATTATTTGAAACTCAAATTTTTTACCACTAATAACCTGAATATGAAATTCACTGTAAATAGAAATGAAGCTATTAAATATAACATTTGCCCAAGTCAGAAGTGAAGGTAGGACAGAGGAGAGGAAAAATGCTGCAGAAAGTGAAGAAAGCTAAGTGAGAAAGTCAGTATTTTCAATTCTGGTACTCAGTGCATTTAAGCAAAGTTGTCTTTTAAAAGGTTTTTAGCAACTTATATTTCTTTATTTTGAAAAAAAAAATCAAGAAAATATAATTTCTTTGGTATCTATAATACATTTTATGTAACATAAAGGAAAACATTGTCATTCCTGTGCTGTTGAGTTCTGATAATGAGGACTTTTGTTTATCACTGAGATCTAATTTCCCTCAAGAACCTCAAAATCCCATGTGTTGTTTCAGTTGTCCTATGACAAGGGATAAGTTTGGTTATGAGTATTTAGATTTGTTTTACTTATTCTTCAGCATGGAAAGGACTTTGAAGCTATCCAGAACAACATTGCCCTGAAATACAAGAAGAAAGGCAAGCCAGCAAGCATGGTGAAGAATAAAGAGCAGGTCCGCCATTTCTACTACCGCACCTGGCACAAGATTTCAAAGTACATTGACTTTGATAACGGTTAGTATGCAATGAAGTGGGCTTAGTGTAGAGCTCAGTCTTGTGAGTGTTGGAGTCCTGCCTTTTAGTGCCATAGTGGAGGGTAGGAATGAAGGAAATGAAAAAGTAAGTACTGAATAGGGTATCTGTGAATACGATGTATGTTTATTAATATGAACCTACTGTCATTTCTTTTATATTAGTTCACTGCACCATAGCAACCTGGCCATGAACACCTCTAGGGATGAGGCACCCACAGCTGCCCTGGGCAGCCTGTGCCAGTGTCTCACCACCCTCTGAGAGAAGAATATCCTCCCAACATCTAATCTAAATCTTGCCTATTTCAGTTTAAAAATCATTCCTCTGTGTCCTGTCACTATCTATTCGAGCAAAAAGTTACTCTTCATCTTTTTTCATAATCCCCCTTTAAGTTTTGAGAAGCTACAGTGAGATCTCCCCGGAGCCTTCTCTTCTCCAAGCTGAACAGCCCCAGCTCTCTCAGCCTGTCCCCATAGGAGAGGTGCTCCAGCCTCTTGATCATCTTCGTGGCCTTCCTCCTCTGGACTCAGTCTAACAGCCCCACATCCTTCTTGTGCTGGGGGCCCCAGACCTGGACGCAGGACCCCAAGTGGGGCTTCACAAGGGCAGAGCAGAGGGGCACAGTCACCTCCCTTGACCTGCTGGCCTCTCCTCTGTTGATGCAGCCCAGGATGCAGTTCACCTTCTGGGCTGCAGGTGTGTTCTGCTGGCTTGTATTGAGTATTTTGTCTGCCAGAACCCCTAAAACCTTCTCCCTAGGGCTGCTCTCAGTGAGTTCTTCTCCCAGTCTGCACTCATGTCTGGGATTGCCCCCACCCAGGTGCAGCACCTTGCACTTGGACTTGTTGAACCTCATTAGGTTCACATGAGCCCACTTCTCCAGCCTGTCCAGGTCCCTTTGGATGCCACCCCTTCCTTCTGGTGTACCAGCTGCACCACTCAGCTTGGTGTCATCTGCAAACTTGCTGAGGGTGCACTCGATCCCCCTGCCTGTGTCACTGATACAGATATTACACAGCACTGGTCCCAGGACACATCCCTGAGTTACACCATTCATCACCTGCCTCCACCTGGACACAGAGCCGTTGACCACAGCTCTCTGGCTGCGTCCATCCAGCCAATTCCTTGTCTGCTGTTTGGTCCCTACACTGTCAGTGCTGGTATGGGTGCTCTAGATCTTTTAGAAATAATGGTGTCTATATGATGTATGTTGATGAGAAAGGGGGGGAGGAATGATACTGCTAAAGACATAGAATCTAGAATTTGCATTAAATCTCTATGGTGCATTCTTATGCACAAAAGCCAGTATGAGTTTTGGAAATTTCAGACTTCTTAATTTTCATATAACAAAAGCTCTGTATGCATTTTCTGGGGGCATCTGTACGTTTCCCTTAGAAATTGTGAACAGTTTTGTGATACTAAGGTTGATGCAACTGAATTAGCTCTATTTTGCATATTGAACCGTTGGATGTTTAAATTCTGTGTAACCACTTAGACTTGCCTTCAATAAGATGCTTGTCTCATCACTGAAAATCTGAATCATGTAATCTTTTCACAGTATACTCTAATTTTCAGTGTTGAGGTGAGTAACTACAGTGTGGATAATGTCATCTCACATGTACCTGTTTTGTTTTTCAGTGTTTTCTCAAGGGCTGAAAAAGTCATCCCTGGAGCTTTATGGCTTAATCTGCTATGGGGAATTAAGGAAAAAGATTGGGGGATGTAAGTATGAATTTCCTCTGACTGAAATTTTCTTTTATATGGAAGAATCAGAAGTGTTGTGTTATTAGGAGTTTGTGTTCATTGTATTCTATGGCAGTAGTCTGTGTAGTACTAGTATTTTTCATTAAGTGTATTTCTAAAGACGTTCTTAGTCAACTGCACGAGTCCCCTTTTTCTTTGACAGATTTCTTTAGCTTTTGCTATCTGTGGAATGCAGTGCACAGGTGACAGGTAAATGTATATGCAGTTTAGGTTATCCATCTGTTTTATTATTGAAAACTGTTTGCACTCATGAGTATTTCTGCCTACACTGTAAAAATCTGGGATGGTACCATCCTCTAAGTCAGTATCCAAATCATTAAATAACAACGAACACTGAAGATGAAAAAGCGTTACAAATCATAATCAGAAATAATAACCTTACTGGCTAACCAGAATGCATTCTGACCTTGTCCACCCCAGAGGCTGGTTTTGTCCATAAAGAGGAGTGTAGATGGATGAGTGTGCACCTTAACCTGTGCTCCCGTCTTCTGCAAGCTGACCAGTTGCGTTAGCGAGGTTCCTGATCTGAGGCTTAGTGCTACGTTGGCGTGGTCTTTATGGCTTCCAGACTAGAGGGAGCTCTGATGTGACCAGCTTGGAGAATGGGCAAAGTAAAAAGCATTGTATGCTCCAGTCCCTTCATGTATACCTTATTTTCTGTGTACTTTTTTCATTTGTCCCCAAGTTTTTTGTAGAGTTGGTGTTAGAGTGAAGTACTACATTTCACTTGTTTTGTGAGAGGTGGAAAGTCATCAAAATACCTTGACTTTTTTGTAACTCAGGCTAGTTGCAGAGTGGAAAAAAATTGAGGAAGTTGTGGACGTGTACAACTCCTAAAGCAATTGTGATGCTTTTGCAGATTTTTTTTTTTTTGCTAGGTTATTTTCACACATGGGTTTTCATTGTACTGCATCATGAACTAGGCTATTTTCAACGTTCATACTGACTTTATTCTGTTTGTTCAAAGATCTCCACTATGTTAATTCATCTTGGAGAAGCAATTTTGAGCTGTTAGTAACAAGACAGTCAGAAGCAAGATAGATGGCGTTGCCAGTATAAATTAGTATTAGTGGTTCTTCCTTTTTTCCACATCTTGTGTTAAAAGAATCAGCAGACCCTCCATGGCTCTGACTGGGAACGAGGTTTTACACGGTCACCATGGCAATGCATGCATACTCTGTGCTTCGGTCTTTTTATAACTTTGGTACTCAGTGCAATGTTTTACCCACTTGAACAATTCTAGTCTCCTCAAGACCAAATGGACCTGAGCAGCAAGTCTTTACACCTAGCTTATGAGAGATCTTTTCTACAGCTGGTGAAAGTAGTTTCTTTCTCCTTTTTTTGTGGTTTTCACCCAGTCCTGTTTTCCCAGAAGTAGGGGTGCCTTATGTAGAGCTACGGAGAATTAAAAACATGTCAGGAATGATTTCAGTATTGCCAGAGGGATGTTAATTGTTCAGTAAATAGGTTTGGGCATAACATAGAGAATAGAAATCAAGTTATTTTAAAATGTCCAGTATAGCGCATGGAAGAAAGGTGTAGGTTATACATGCAATTTATTATTTTTATTTACTTTCTTTTTATTGCATCCAGAGCTGCGAATGCTCAGTGCTCTTTCATTATTCTGTGGTGCCTTAGCAACAGAGATTGAGCAGGCAGATGAGGAAGCTTTTCTTTTAACACTTCAGAGTCAGAGTAACGCACAACAACCTGGGTGAAGCACTGGAACAGGTTGCCCAGAGAGGTTGTGCCCCATCCCTGGAGGCGTTCAGGAGCAGGTTAAGCAAGGCCCTGAGCAACCTGATCTCGTGGGTGGCATCCCTGCCCAGGGCAGGGGGGTTGGAACTGGATGGTCTTTGAGGTCCTTTCCAACCAGAGCCATTGTATGAATCTATGTCTGTAGCACCTAAACTAGGATCACTTAATTAATCCTTAAGTAAAATGTAATTTTCATGGCAAGGCAAGGACTGTGTAAAGCTTGTATATTATGAAAATAGAGTAATAACAGTCATGACTATATCACTTTAAGTTCTAATTACTATTTTATCTCTTTTCATGTAAAGGTATGGATGACAAAAATGCAGCTAAACTCAATGAGCTCATTCAGGCTGGGTAAGTAATAAGTTATTCCTGAAACTCAGAAAACTGGATTGTTCATCAGCTTAATTGTTGAATTCATCATCTAGAGTCTAGGGTACCTTTTTTACTTTTTTGGAGTTGGAGTTTGACATTTGATATTCTTAGTTTCTTCTGTATGTTTTTTTTCTCTCCCTTTTTCCATGAAGCCATTAATTAGTTAGAAAGGATAGGCGAGCTTTAAGAAATTCATTAAAAGAGGATTCTTTACAGAAGTTATGGCATTACAAGTATGTTAAGTATAGGGAATATAGTTCAATATAGTTCATCTCCAAAAGTTTTGCCAACAGTGCTCCTGAATCCTGACTTTCAGACATGCACCAGCAGTTCCAGTGTGCTGTAGGCCACAGCCCTCTAGTCACTTCTGCATCTACTTCATTTGAGGATGAGTAGTCTCTTTCACTTCAAGAATGAATTATGGGCAGTGGGGGTTCCTTTTTGATGACAATGTAGTTTTAGAATACAGAACTGTTTAGAAGTTGCCATACTACACAAAATGAGGGAATTTTCTGATATTTGGGCATTTTTTTCTAAGCAGCATTGCTTTTATAGTCTGTGGATTCTACAGTGAAGTATCTTTCAACAGCTGTCATTAAGGTGTGTGATCATTAAACTTAATTTCTTCCAAATTGTAGCTGCTCAGCAGACATCGGTTTGTCCTGAACATGTCTTCAGAAGAGATTTGAAAACAGCATCATTTTCTTTATTACAGATCCCTTTTTATTATTGGCATTAGTCCTTCTAGGGTACATTATTGTAGCAAATTATTAATGAAGTGAACTTTACTGCAAATAGGAGAGAGCTGCTGACTTCTTGACTTCACTTTACATAAACTGGCTACTTTTTGTTGCACCTTCATTGCTCACAAATTGAGTTCCCAAGTGAGTGCCTTACAGTTACTAGGCTTCATTCTCCTGAGAGCTGCACTCTGTACAGTGTGCTGTTGTGTTGCAGGTCGTGAATGTCGTCGTTTTTGAAATCACTTGTTCATTCTATTGTTAATTACAGAGTTTGAAATTAGAACAGAAATCTTCATTTAGTTTGGGCTTTGTACAAATTAGAAAATCATACTAGTAAATTTTTTTCATATAATGAAATAATATTTTAAACAAATTGCTTAAATTTGAATTATCCATTAAAATGACCCAGACTGAGCCTTCTTTCCCTAAGAAGTTAACTTTTTGTACATCTAGTGTTCAGGTTATAGGCAGTCATTTTGGTCCCTCTTTGTTGTACTGGAGAGCTTTTCTAGTACTGTGTCATCTAAATAGTCTAAACCATAGTAAAGGAGATTTTTAGCAAGCTATAGTATTAATCTAGCACTTGACATTATTGAGGCCTGAGTTACTGTAATTAAATTGCCTATGAGGGCTAATAATTTGTATGCAGTCTAACTGTTTGTTCTAAAAAAATCCAGTCTTGTAACAAACCATTTTGAAAGTCAGAATCCTTCTGGTTGAAAATATTACTGCTAATCATCTTCTACCCAAAATGTAGAGTGTTTATAAATTTTTACATTCTTGGGCAGTTCAGAAACACTTGCTCTTGCGTAGGCTTTTTCTCTACAATGTGGAAGACTCATCGTTGCTTCCTTTGTTCTCCTGCATCTCTTACCCTAGTTGTTGGGAAACTTTGTTGTTCATACTGGCATAAACTGTGCAAGAAAACGTGCTCACATTTTCATCCTCATTAGCACCAGTATGCTTGCACTATCTGAATTAATTCCCTACATGTGCAGGGCAGCCCTGTGTCTTCTCAAGCAAATAAATTGCACATAACCCATTATAAATTGCATGTAACCCATTATATAAAACTTTTTCCTTCCATCTCTCTCGGTGGCATTAGAATTCTGTGATCACTCTGTCTATTTGTAAGCAGTTCTTTTTTTTTGTTTTTTTTTTTAAATTCCTAGCGTGTTTTTTTTTTCAAGTCTGATACTCCTCTCCCTCTAAGTATAATGCAGTCTGTGCAGTTTGTCACTATGGAAGTGGTTGTTTAGAAAGTAAGAATAGGGAATGTGAACACATGATAACTCCTGAAGCAGGTAAACATCAGCATAATTAGATTCGTAAGAAAGATCAAGAGAAGCTAAAAAACTATGAGGATCTGTCTGGCAGTTTGTTTGCACGATGAGTCTAGACCCTGGAATTACTGACTTTAATTCAGTGTTTGTATTTCTTGTGTTACACATCAACTCAGGCTTTCTATAATAATTGTCTGGTGTATGAAAAAATGACTGAGATGCTCATAGCAAAACCATGTTGAACATATTCCTAGTTAAACTTACAACCACGGTCACAGGTAGTAAAGAGCACTTGAAAATTAAATCAATTGGTTATTTAATATAATGGCAGAATCTTTGTGTGAAACGTCCTTTTTTGGTTAGTGAAGGTAAGGCCATTCAATGCTGTGCTTCTGTGTCTTCAAAACTTTGACAGTTTGTAAGATCAGGCTAGTGGATAGTCTTTAGTTTGCAGCTGCATGAATCAGCGATATTTCAGAAAATAGATCAAAGTTTAGGATATTTTAAGTCCAAGGGGAATGTAAGAATTGTTCTGTCAGCTTTTGTAACTGATCTGAGTAGTTCAGCATGCTTAAGACAACACTGGCCCACACAAGTTGCTTAAAGAAGCTTTCAAAAACACTAAGTTGGGCAACTGTGAAAAATGAACTTGGTTAGAAACTACGGAGAATCTGAATCGTTATCTGACCGGTCTTTGTTACTATTTTTTTTTTTACAGTAATGATATGTGTCTGGGTTGTGTGATTAGAATACGTAACAAGAAACAAAGCTTTGGGGCAGTGTGTTAGAACTGCTCAGGAACCTATTTAAATAGATTTAGAGCAAAGGTTTCTGTTTTGTTTCACTTCTAGGAGTGAAAAATTTTTATTTAGCTTAGTTTTTGCAATCTTTTTTACATTTGATTAAAAAAAAAAAGTAGACAAAATATAAATAGTTTTGGGTATCTTTGTAAACTTATGGGATTTGTGGATGAGTGTTTAAAAAAAGGAAACAAACAATTAAAGAAATACCATAGATAAGCATCTGGTAAAGCACTGTGCCACTGGAAGACCATTTAAAAACTTCAAACTGTTTTTCTATTTTGCCCTTTCTATTTCTGCCCTCTTTTTCTATTATGCCCTTGTGAATCTGCACTGTAAATCCTTAAATGTCTTTGTTCATTTCTATAGAGATGATTGTATTTGACTGTGTGTCACTGATAGATACATATTCCCAAACTTTTGGTAATGGTGCCTGTAAATACTTCTCTTTCAATATATCCAGGGCTACAACTGTTCGTTACAAAGGCAGAAACCTTCGTATCAAAGCTCCAATGTGCAGGGCTTTGAAGAAACTCTGTGATCCAGATGGTAAGTAAAAGATGCTGAAACGTGAAAGAGTTCTAACAGATGGCTGGAAGAATATGAGAGTAGGCCTGTTTTGATGTGTGCATCACTGGCAGGGGAATTTGTGCTGTTTTGCATTTGTATTGGGCACAAATACGTCCCCATTGTTTTTACATAATCCCGTTAGTTTGTGTAATCCCACTAACTTTAAGATCCACTGAGCTCTTTAATTCTTAGTGTACAGTACTAGTGAAATTACAGAAGAAACAGCTACACGGGACAAGATCACTACTGCTTTGCCAGGTTTCCATTCACTATATTCCAAAATTAGTCTTCCTCCTGTGCCAGTAAATAAAGAGCAGTATGTTGTTTAGCACTGAACATTTAAAAAAAATAAAATAATAACCTTCTCCAGTTCAGCTGTGTGACTTCTCTTTCTCTCCCTCCCTCAATAAGTAGAATCAGTGTAGTTTAAAGATCTGAAATATTTTACTATTGTACTTGTTTGGAGTTTCCAGCAACCTGATTTTGACAGTGCTTGCTCAGCTGGGAGCCTCTAGTACTACTGCAGTGGCTGGGGGAGGGAGGGGGAATTGCAACAGGAGTTAACCTAAGGAAGCAAGTTCCCTCCATGGCTGCAGCTGGGTTGCCTAAGTCATCTGTAGATGGTGCTGATGTCTGTGATGCTTTTTTTGTTCTTCCATGTAATTGAGCATATAGCATTCTGCCTGAAATTTCCTTGCTTTGACCTTTGTGCTTTATCTCCCTTCAGGCATTAGTGATGAAGAGGACCAGAAGCCAGTACGTCTTCCTCTCAAGGTTCCCGTGGAGTTGCAGCCACGAAATAATCATGCATGGGCTCGAGTACAGAGTCTCGCCCAGAATCCACGGCTTAGGTAATGAAGAGCTGATTTTAGTGCTCAGTATAGAACAGTGAAATACAGGGACAGTGTTCTAGCATCTTGCTGTCCCTTCAGGGTTCTCTTTGTGATCTAGATGGTGCAGTTGATGATGCAGTTTGCCTAAATGTACTTAGTCTGAAGCCTTTGTACAACCAGAGCGTATGATTTGTGTAGATAGTGAGATATCGAACTTGGATATTTAGTTTACCGTTATTCTTTATACCTTTAGATTTGAGTAATGATAGGAGACACTGGAGCTGGAGATGAATATACTTGGTGCCAGTTTACACCCAGGTGTCAGAGTGCAGGTAGAACAGAGACGTGCAGCATTAGTGCTACTGAAGTTTGTATTGAACATACCACGTGACAGAGGCATGGGGAAGGGATGTGAAGCGATGGTTGGAGGTGCCTGCTCTCCTTTTAGGCTGGGAGTCTAAATATGTCAACTGCAACACAGTGGTAGCAAGAAGGAAGATACTTAGCTTAAATTCCCCCTGCAAAATGTAGTTGGTGCTGTTGTTCCAGTGTCATCAGTGTTTTTTCCTTTTAGTACTTGTGGCTGGTCCAAAACTCAGGGCAGAAAACAACCAGGCCTCTGTGATGCTGATTTCTCTTTCAAATAGCACATTTCAGTGTAGTGACCAAATACCATGCAGAGAGGAGAATGAAGGTTTGCAGTGTAAAAGTATTTTGTCCTCCTTTTTGTATATTTCATTTGATAGCTTTGTGCCTTGCTTGCAGTACTGCAGGTTAGCGAAATCTTGCCATCTTTTCTCATCTTCTTGCATCTGGAGAAACGAGTATCTTGAGTCCACAGCAATCAGATTTGTCTGATAGGCTTTCAGATCATTCACAGTTGTGATTTACGTTTTAATGTTGCCAGTATTTTTTTGTTGCGTTGTTTTTTTTTCTTACAGTTTGGGAGTGGTAGCTGTGCTCTCTGTGCCACAGAATGCCAGTTTCTTCCCTTAATTCCTATTCTAGCACTGGGGGTCTGATTTGAATTTCTGCTGACATTTTTATCTGTTCCACTGCTTTACCTTGCATACAGGATGATTGTGGAGTTGCATCGGAAGGTCTCCAGCCTCATTGAGTTCCTGAAGCAGAAGTGGGCTCTCCATGAAGTACGCATCGTATCCTTTTCTTGTTTAGTCTCTGTTCTGTGTGCTCTGTCCTGGAAGCAATTCCATTCCCATTCTAGGTTCAGCTTTACATCAGAAATGTGAGTCTACCTAACAAATTTACCAGTTCATGCTTGAATAATAACAGAGGTCAGCATTTCAGCATCACTAATGTGAAGGAGTCTTTTGTGGAAAATTGTGCAGGATTTCACTTTTACCTCAACTCTTCTCTGCTGTGGTCCTCTGAAAAACTAGTTAGTAATAAGTGAAGCTCCCTGCCTTTATTTCATTGCCTTAAAAAGTGGGCGTGGTGTGTTTCAGCACAGATGGGTGACTGCACTGTAGAAGCTTGGATATTAACTGTTGATTTACAGTTTCAGCAAGGAAATTGGGAATGGATCTTTCCACTTGCTGTACGCAGCTTCAACAAATGAACATTTAAGCTTCTTCTTTAGGTAGCTGCTGCTGCCTGTTAAGTTTTTATATGCTGTCTGAGCCACAGAACTCGTTACAGAGATATTCCTACCTCTGAGCTTTGATTCAAGGAGTAGAAGCAGACCTGTGAGACTAGCTGTGAGATAACAGCCGTGTATTTTCCTGTTGACTGGTATGCTGTATCCTGTTCTTAGTCCTCTAATTCAGGCATCTTTCTTTAATTTGTGAGCCTGGAAGAAGTTTCACATAGCACTTGAACTTTGAAAGATGCCAAAATATGTGAAATGAAGGCTATTGCGCAGAAAGGGGAGTCTGTTTCACTATGCAAGAATTTTTTTTTCCTATTGCAATGCTATTTGAAGCAGAGACTAGTAATTTTTTTTCTGGACCGTAGGTTTAGTTTGTGCCTGTGTTTTCTATACAGTCCTTATCAACACAGCAAGACTAATTTCTGATCAGAGCCCTTATATCTATGCTGAATAGAGAACATATCCTTGATCAGCTACTAACTTAACTTGCAAAATAGGCCATCGAATACTTGTTATGAGGGGACAGATGGTGGTTGTAGTCTTTAACACAGCTTTTTTAGCGTAAAACACTAGAGGAACGGCAGCTTCAAGACTCCAGAGACTCAGAATCAAGAGGTAGCTTCTCAGAGGAGAAGGTGATGCTCCATCTCTTTCCAGGAGAGAATTGTACACTCACTCCACTGCCTGGGGTAGCCAGAGTGGTTCACTCCAAGGCTTTCTGCACAGTGCATTGGCAGGAAACTGGCAAATGCAAACAGAACACAAAAGACTCTCACTTACTGCCCCCTGCACAAATCCTAGGTATACAGAGTGGTCAGGGAACAGCTAGGGGACAACTAAAATACACGCGGGGAACAGAAGGTAAGAGCGTTGGAAGGGCAGAGAGCACTACAGAATCAAGCAGAACCCCTCATCCCACAGCTGAGGCTCCTGCAGGCACTGAAGATGGCTCCCCAGAGGCTGGTCTGGCAGAAGGAACAGCCTCAAATCTTGGCATCACTAACTCCCTCAGCAAACCACCTTCTGGACTTCAAGATCCAGGAGGGAACCATGAGAAGCTGAGCTCAGTGGCCTTCTGTGTGGAAGGCAGGGAGGCCTTGGCTGGTGACCAAGCAACTGTACCAGCATCGTGCAGCACAGCTTGTGCTTGCAGTAAGATCCCTGATGTCGAGGAGCTCTCTCTGCTCGATCCATTCCCACGGTACATGAAGTCCTGTCAGGACCTGATTGTCCCAGAGAAATGTTCTTGCACAGACAAACCGCATGGGAAAGACTCTGCTCCAGCAGCTGGCGATACTTCTCCCGTGGCTTTTCCAAGCGGGAGGAGCACAGAGACATCTGAGTCCTGTTCGCAGCTGCTGAGAGGTGGTGTGGCTTCACCCAGCAGTGGCCCAGCCAGATGCGAAGCTCAGGCTGGCCACAGCCAGGGTCAGCAGCTCGATGCTTGTACCAAGGAGATAACAGATGCAGTAACGGAGGATTCTCAAGAGAAGCTGAGCTCCTCGTTTCCACCTCCACCTCAGGGACAATCTAGTACAAAGTCTCTCAAGGATGACCCGAGCCGGCTCTCTCAACAAGTCAGAGAAGAAGGATGGAGTCTACGAACTTCCGAGAGCCTTACGCTGGCAGAAGTCTACCTCATGATGGGCAAACCGAACAAGTTGCAGCTGGAATATGACTGGTTGGCTGTCTTGGAGCCAGAAACCCAGGATGCTAGGGAGCAAACATCTGAATCAAGTGCTGTTCCTGCATGTACCACTTTTCACAAGCAGAGACTTCTAAACTGCCTTTTAAAACTCATCTCTACTGAAGTCAATCCCAAACCAGTAAGTAGCTCTTCTTTATGCTCCATATGCTAAATCTTACTTGAGCTGGGGAATAATTCCTGTTGCTGTTTTCATAGTAAATCAATGACCAGCTATGTCAAGATCTTGGAGTTTCCTATGTTTAAAAAGAAAATCAAAACAGATTGCTACGGGGTAGACTTTTCCTCAGTGTGCTGCACCTGCTTTTCTAACATGCCTTTTAGTTTCTTGTTTGGCATGAGTCAGAGTCTCAGTAGTATTACAGTGAGCTCAAAAGATCAGACATGTAGGTGTTTTCTCTTCTCTCTCATGTTAATACTCCAAACAAAAAACATGATATGAGGTAGTTATTATTTGCAAGTGTTTTCCTGTCACTTCGGCATACTTCGTCTTAATCAAAGCCAAGTCATACACCTGGAAAAGATTGGCATTACTTTAGATATGCATCATTACATATATTCCAATAAAAAGAAGTAACCTTTTGCTTTATTTGTCAAATATCACTTTATACACTCTGTATTTCAGAAAAAGAGGTAGATACACATCTTGTGGCAATGAATGTCATAAGAGTGACACACCCATTCAAGGGAAAAGGATGGTATTTACTGCCTAACTGAAAGTGCTGTAGACTTTTTTTGAAAGTTTCATCTCTTAAAACCTCTGTTTCATCAAATAATGATGCGAACCATAATATTTTTGCCACAGGGTACTTCAGCAGAGAAAGGATTGCTTGTCTTGATCCCTACAACTTTCTCAAGATAATATGTAACAAAGCCAAAATGGTCAGCTGTTCTGGGGATCATTCTTTTAAATGAGTATTACAGGCATAAAATCAACTGTAGCAAATTGCACTGCAATCAAGCTTAGGTTGATAATTTTATGCCTGTGGTTACACACAGATTTTTTAAAAAGGGAGCATTTTGTAGAAAACCATATAAACAAAAAGGAAGTCAACTGGATAGGCCTGGAAAATCAGTAAGGCATCTTGCCATGTGCTTCTGGTTTAATTCTTGAGTTACAGTATGAAATATGAAAGGGAATGGGAAAAGCTTTACAAACTATTCATCTTCTTTGCATCAGAATTAACAGCAAAATATTTTTGTCCAGGTGTATTTCCATCCAGAAGAGGTCTCTGGTTTATTAGAGTTCAGGAAAATCCCTACTAAATTAAAAGCAACCCCTCTTTTGTTACTGTGACAAATCTTCATCTTTACCTCTGCTTTTTTTTTTTTTTTTCCCCTGGGGTGGTGCAGCACAGTGTAAGAAGCTTGTTGGGTGCTAACGTGGTTGTAACATAAATTAACGATATTGAACCAATGGTATTTAACACTTCTAAATGCCCACTGGAGGAATTTCAGCTTTCTTCCACAGGCGTTCAGAGGTATTGGCTAGAGTGCTATTTGACACACTAAAACACCTTTAATGTTTCCTAAGTAGAATGAGTTTAACCACATTTTTGTTGTAACAATACACAATATTCATTTAATGTACTCACATTTTTAGACCCCTGAGATGAGCTCTGTTGCCACATCACCTATAAAGCCTACTCAAGAGGAGCAGTCACTGACTCCTCCAGGAAAGGTGATTGCCGTCAGCACCAGAAGTCCAGGCTGCACGCGGAATCAGTCTGCCCTTCGCAACAACAAGACTTTTTCTCCTGGTGCTGCTTCCAGCTCCTCAGGTGAATGCTCGTAAAAATACATTTCAAGAGATCAGACCATTAATGCCTCATACGTGATGAATGCATTCCAGTAAGGTAACACTGGGAGAACGAGGGTTCTGCTGTTATGAATTTAATTGCTTAAGAACATTGGTACATGTTAATTTGCTTTAGGGTTGTCCTAAATTCAGTATTTCTTTGAATCTTGAAAAACAATACGTGTCAATAATACCATTTACAATCCAGAAAATCTCTCACAGCTCAGGCTTACATTCCCTCTTAGACTTAGGTCCCAAGTCTGTGTAGGTACAACCTGCATTTTCATTTTTGTCTTTTTTTTTTTTTTAATAAAGATAAGTTGATTTGGCCTTCTCAGTAGAAAATAAAGAAAATAGATTGTCTTCTACAGAACTGAAAGTGTTGACAAACTGGTAGCTCTACAAAAGGCACACAGCTAGCAGGAGAGGAAAAAAAAGGGTTAAAAAGAGTCATGCAAAGAGATTTAGAAAAGAGCGAAACAACAACTGTGATGGAACATAGTCTATAATAGTTATCTATAAAATAGCATTAGATAATTTTAGTTCATCCCATTGCAGACTTTTAAGAGAATACCTTGTGTACGAACAATTCTCTCTAACTCCTGGTCAGGCAGGAGAGACAAATGTATTTCTTCTTATTCTACATTTAGCTGCTTTTTAGATCCTCTGGCATGCTGTAATTTTAACTGTCCTGTGGAAAAAAACAAACAAGCAGTGTAGAATGGCAGGTGGCAATTTTCCTTTTTAAATAGGAGGATAATAACACCTCCTGTTTGTTTATTAAGCAAGTGAAGTTTGTTCTTCAAAACTCTTCTGGAATAGTGTTGTGTGTAACCATCTCTGTGTTAGGATGGCCCAAGCTTGTGCTGTGTGGTTCACGTGCCCAGGGAGGAAGCAGGCATTGCTGAGAATCATTGCCCACTTTGCCTCTTCCACTTCTGGGTGAGTTGGATGACTGTTGCCTCCTCACTGTTATCTCCATGGCAAGCACGGGTGTAATACTGAGTGTGAAAATAGTCATTTTTGTCTATTGTAATGAAGCCCAGCATTGTAACTAAAGCAGGCACTTCTGTGGAAGAGAGGTACACTTCTTAGTTATCTCATAATCACATACCAGCAGCAGTGGTTTTCATTCTAACTGGATGCCTGCACAGCACTGAAATAATACAGCGTGGTTTTGTTTGTTTTTTGAAGTTAAATGTGAAAGAAGTTTTACTCAGAGAAGATATTATTTAATGTGACATACGCATTTCTAAGACACTCCATCTTTTGTGAAGTATTTTTGGTAAATGATCCCTGCTCTTTCACTTCTCTGTCATCAGGATCATTTTGCTGAGGTTGCACTTTGAATTACCACACTAAGGGTGGGGGATGGAGGAGAGGTCTAAGTAAAAAATACTTATTGTAGAATGAATCTATTTTTGTATTATCTTGCCCTACAAAAGGAGTGGATCAGGTAAATACATAGTTTGCAGAGCAGAAGGACCTTCAAGTGTTTCTACAAACTGAACAGATTAGCTGGTTAACAAAGCTGGTACGGGGTTTCAAAACTGTGTGCTTAGATTCTCTTTCCTTTAGTAGTGTAAAATTGCATTTAAGCCCCTTCATCCAAAGATACCAAAGCAAGTGAATGTTTGCGCTCTCCTTGTGAAGCCTGTAAATATTGCCAGTTTACAGGTGGGAAAACTGAAGTGTTGAGAGTTTTGTGATTTGTTTGAGGTCGCAAATGGGGGCAAAACCAGAATACCCGTGTCTTAGCTCTCCATCTGATCCTTCAGTTAGTAAATAGCCGCTTTCTTCTTGTTTCCACTTAATTTAAATTGCTGATGAAATCTTCTAGGTTTGAGAAACCTCCCTAGACCTCTCTTGGTGGCTGGTCCTTCAAGTTCTGGAAACACCGATGCTGATGGTGGACTCTTTGCAGTTCCTACAACTCTACCACCCAACAGCCGCCACGGGAAACTCTTCTTGCCTAGTAAAGAAGCAGAGCTGACCTTCCGGCAGCACTTAGACACAATCAGTGTAAGTGAGATCAGTAAATGAAGAAAGTAGCATGCTGTGCCTGAGCTGGCTTGCAGTAGGATTAGAGGTTTTTTGTTTCATCAGAAAATGCTTCCTCATGAAGCAGTGCTTCTGGTGATGTTTAAGCATAACTGTATCAGCTGAGCTTAGATTTTGATGACATGATTATGCTTTGAAGTGTCATCACTTCTTCAGACCTGAATGCCATCACACAACCTGGTGAAACTGCTTCACTCTCTAGTTTGCTCCAGTAAACTATATTTGCCAGGCTTGGCAAAGCTGATACCCTTCTTCTTGTGCAACGGATTTTTAACACAAGCACATTGCTCTATTTGATTGAAATAGTTATTTTTATACATACAGTCTCAGTAACGGCTTCATATCAAGCTACAGTAGTTAAGTAGTGAAATGGCTTTTTTGGGGGAAAAAGTTTTGTCCCCATAAAACAACAAAAAATATGTTCCTAGTGGAAAATGTTCCTGCTCTAGCAGAAGTTCTGGGATATGAATCTGAAGTGTTAACTTTTGGGTTAAGGAAATGGGATTTCCATATTCCATGAGGCTTTTCTTTTACTGGACTGTGTTTGAGGAGCTTTCAGTTAAATGATACATATGTTAGTGTAAAATATCAAAATCCAGTGAGATATGTTTAACTTAAAGGTAGTTTCAAGAAAAATATTACACACTTTGAAACAAATCAGTATATTAATTAATAGTTACAGTTTTATTTAAAAGAGGTTTGAGGATATAATTTATGCTACATTTGCCTGCTTAGGATACTTCCTAATTGATTTCCTGTTCTTCTCCAGATGCAGTCAGACTTCTTCTTGCCAAAGCCAAGGAAGTTACGGAACAGGCACTTGCGGAAGCCGTTAGTAGTACAGGTCAGAATAAGTTGGAAGTGCAAAATGCCTGTTTTGTTCTTGAGCAGATTACAGTAAGGTTAAAATGATTTGAGCTGAACTGAAATAGATGTCTATGTCATAACGAGCCATAATATATCCTCTGTATGAGGAATGTCAACAGTAGTAGTCTCGTGTGTGTGGTAGTTTGGGAAAGAATAAAAAAGACCCTTATCTGAAAGCAGGTACTGCTGTTTGGGCCTGCTGGCACAAGCTGCATGTTCATGTGGTATCCTGATCTGTCATTGTTAGAGCTGTCAGTGCTACTGCAACAACATCTCCCTTTAGATGTTTTTTCCACCTTTCTACTTGGTAATGACTGTGAAACTGGGGTGGGTATAAATACTGTAGTGAAATAAAACCAAATATTGAAAGAACACTGACTTACAGGGGGAAAAATGTAATTTTCAAAGAGATGTATGGGAGAACTAGCCTTCTGTCATGGATCTTAAGAGTTTGGCAAGCATTAAACTCACTTAGACTACTTTTATAATCCTAGCGGAAAGATTCTTGGCACTGTGAAACCACAGACCTGTTCTAGGGACTTGTGGCAGGTGGAGAACAAGAAATAGTTTAGAAAGAGAATAATGGAAACTTGTTTGGAGAAGAGGAAGTTACCAAGCGTCAATATGCACTTTGGTCTCTTCTGCTTTGTATAAGAGTAGGAGACCTAGAAATTACATAGAGGTTATTTCTGGTAGTGAAATACCCTGGTCTGTGCAATTCCGTTTGTTTGTAAACTTCACGAATACATACAACTGCCTATTTAATTCATTCTTGTTTAACTCTGATCAGAAGATCAGTTTGTACATAGTCTAGTCCTTAAGATCACTTCTGTAACTTGTTGAGAGATTATAACTGAGAGAAAATTACTGCAAGAATAATCAGAAAGGAATTTAGTTTTAATTCACATTTGTCTGAGAATTATCCATGTGGAAATTTTCTTTTATGGTAGTTTACAGAGGAAACATGATTCCTATCTGTAGCTTCTTTTTCAAGATTGCACAGTCACACCGTATAAATACTCTGCTCCTTATTCTGGGAGGTATCATGAACTTCTGTGCCTTAGAAGATCAGCTTTACCCTCTGTTCTCTGCTTGAATATGTTTTGATTTACTGTTTTTTCTGTCACATAGAGAACTCTGCTCCCCAGGCCATCTGGAAATCCATCCCAACATGTCTGTTCCTTTTCTATCCTATCCAACTCGTCTATTACAGGTGAGTTCCACATATCTTCTGTTACTTTTATGCTGCCATGAGGTGGACTTGAAAGTGTCTCTTTATACTGCATAAAGGAATAACTTATATAATAAGAGGCAAATATCCTTTCAAAACCACAAAGTCATTTATCAATTGGTTGAGTCACTTCTACAAGATGACAGAATTGTTGTCCTGGATCATTGTTAAGCAAGTCATGGTTACAATAGAATTATTTTTCTTCCATTTCCCATCATTGAAAATGGGGAAGAGTGAGGAGGTCTGTACAAGGAGACAATTTGGAATAAATTACTAAGATAAGATTTTTTTTTCCTACAGGATGTAATAATTTGTTTAGATTTTGTAATAAACCTTTCCTAGTACCTGAGATACTGTTTAAATTTCATACAGTATAAGCAATATATTGCCCATTTGTCCTTTCCTACTGTTACACTACTCGTGATGTCTCAAGATAACAACGCCTCAAGATACTGTCTCATCTCAGCTTGAATCTCTCAAAATCAACACTAGAGCTTAAAAGTTACCCTCATTTAAAATGAGGAAAGCAGCTTCAACTAACAGTTTGCTGTTGCATTTTTGTGATAAGGCACTGGTTAGCTTGCATTACTATTTAAGTCTTGTTTAATTGTCTCCACTATTTGCGTTCATGGAAGTTCAGTGCTGCTTGAAGTGTATTTATTTTGCTTCCACTAAACTGTGTTGTGCTCTGCTTTAAAGATGGTAGATCTCATTTGTTTGAGAGGTATTTCATTCTTCACCACAGGGAGAGGTTCATTTCGGCCGATCCAGTCCTCACTGACAAAAGCTGCTGTTTCTCGTCCTATTGTGCCCAAAGTTCTTCCAACACAAGCTACCAACCACCTGTCTAGTAAGTCATTCCTTAAAAAGAATGAAAGTTAGTCTTTCATGGTATGTGTGATGTTATGTTGTTCATTTCTTTTTCCTGTGTAAAAATTGTTAGTGCCTTTTAAAGTTAAAGAAAATGGTCGTGTTAATGATGTCTTACTTGCTGGCTTTGTGGCTGGAGAAAGGATGAAGTCAGTTGTGGGACAGTCCAAACTGGGTTCCTTTGCTGTGTCTGAGCTGCTTGCTACGAAAGGATTTAGAATTTGTAACTGAAGCTGAGGACTTGTGCGATTTTGTTGTTTGTTTTGTTCTGCTTTTGTTCTGTAAGGCCACTTTCAAACAGGTCAAGATCCCTTTTCAAATAAAGTTATAAACACTATATCTACTAACATGAGGTTATGAATTCTACAAGAAAGTAAAATGCCAGAGCACCCCAAGCAAATACTGTCTTGCAACAAAAAAGGGGTCCTATAATCAGAATGATTGGTGAGGTGAAAGCAATCACTGCCTTGGTGGCTTACAGCAGGCTGTGTGATGAGAAGACATCTGCCTAGAGAAGCTGTGGTGCCCCACCCACGGAAGTGTTTAAGGGCAGGTTGAATGGGGCTTTGAGCAACCTGACCTAATGGCAGGTGTCCCTGCCAGGGCAGGGAACTAGATGGAGGTGAAGGATTGGAACTAGATGATCTTTGAGGTCTCTTCCAACCCAAACCATTCTATGATTCAGGTACCTTGAGTTTCAAAAAAGTTTAAAATCTTGCGGGGAAAAAAAAAACTTTTAAACTTTTAAAAAGTTTAAAATCTTGAGATTTTAAAAGTTCTGTGTGATGTTGACCCTGCAACAACGTAAGTTTATATATTGAGGCTAAACTGCTGATAAAGGCAAGATAAATAAATAAACAAAAGTAAGACTGTGTTGTTTTTAAAGTTCCTCTGTTAAACCTTAGGACATTTCTAGGAATTTTGTAACCAACAACTTAAATATTTTCTTGACCAAAAAAAAAAGTTACAGATAGAGGGAAGGGGGAAAACTAGAATGTTTCTCTAAACTGTTTTGATGTAGCTGATTGGAGCAGGGCAGAAGAATTAGAAATGTTCAGCTAAAATAAAAGTTGCACTTCGTGAGGAAGAACAATTGATATAGCTGATCGTATAATAACCATGTTTGCTTCTTGCATGTATTAAGTTTTGACTTGCTGGCCAATATTTTTAAAAATATTTTTTAGAAGAGTCACAACAAAGTAATTGTGTGAGTAAAAGACCTGTAATGTGTTTTTTGCTTGTTTGTTTCACAAAAGGTGCTATTGACTTGGCAGCTAAAAGTGCTGGTATAATCCCTGGTAGCCCCGTGCCTGTCCTGGATGCAGATGGTTTGCCAGGTGTATCTCCGTTGTCGCCAGACAGAGTGACCACGGTAGTAACAGGGCAGGAGTCAACGGCAGCGCATCAGAACGGAGGCTCCATCACCACAGTGGAGGTCAGTCCCCTGAGCGTGCCTTTTGAAGGAGCTAAATGTCTTGCTTTTCCGTTGTGTGGAAAGCTGTATTAGTAATGATTCTCCAGTGAGCCTTCACCTGGGGCTTGCCGTTAAACACATGTATTTAGAGTTTAAGGGATCAAATCATCACTGCGCTGAGCAGATTTCTATCCCATAGAATACCTTTCAACTGTTAGACTGTTGAAGTTGGTCATTCAGAAATCTGGGCTTAAAAAGAAACAGTGGTATATCAAGAGACAGTGACTCAGAAGGGAATCTGGGGGCAAAGCATGAACTTTCGGGGCTGTATTTGGAATGGAAACTGACTTCCCATTGCTAGCCTCCTTTACTGAGATCCTGATACACGTTTGTCTCTGTCATTTTCTCAGGCAGTTAATGGACTGTTTTGAACGGTGGGGTATATAGAAAGAGCATGCATAAATGGTGATATGCACCTGTCTCTTACCTCCCCAACTATATTTTCACCAGTCTCCTATAAAAGTTTCACTCACATGATTCCTGTTGTTGTTTCTAGAGCTCAGGCCCTGGGTGTCGCGTTCCGTTTATAAGCTTACCAACACGGCATGAGCAGGAGGCAGTTGCTGATGGTTTCCAGGTAGAGTATGTGTTGAAAGAAAGCTGTATCAAATAGGTAATGTTTTAAAACACCACTGCTATTACTAGTTAGATGCCTTTGTTCCCCAGTAGTTGTATACCATCATTATTGTTTTGTAGGAATGGAAGTCTACCATCGGAGTAAATTTAAAGAAAGAATGTCAGGAAAGCTGTTTAAATTTATGTGGGGGGCATTCTCTAAAAAAGCAAAGTAAATCTAACAAGCTCTGACTTGGGCACATGTCTGACTCATGTTCAGCTTGACATCTACCAGGACACCCGTGTCCTTTTCTACAAAGCTGCTTTCCAGCTGGTGGGACCCTGGAATATATTGGTGCGTGGAAGTGTTCCTTCCCATGTGCAGGACTTCTGTCACTTCCCACAAAATAGCAATAATGGTATACGATTACTGGGGAACAAGGGCATCTAACTAGTAATGACAATCACGTTTTCAAAACATTACTCACTTTGAACTACATCAGAAAAAAAAATCAAACAGTTCTGTTAAGGGGTAGTAGAATCTAGACTCCTTACAAAAGCCCATTGATTTTTGGGAAGTCTGACAATAAGGAGAAGTGAGTTAGTCTTTTAAATTATGTATACTCTAAGCTACAGGTTTTTTGCCTATACAAAGGCAAATATTATAATTCTTAAGAACTATCATGTAGATTCCTCAAAATCATGTTCATTTTATTATTATGTATGGATGCTCATTTCTGTTACGTAGACTGTATTAAATTCCTCTGAGGTGTTACGGACCCATACTTTTTTCAGATGATTTGGCAGGATATGGGCTGAAGAGTATCAGTTCATACTTAGACATTTTTTATAAGAAGAATATGAATTACCTTAGAAGTGGATATCCAAAATATGGGATCAATTGCTCTTCTGTAACTGAGAAGAATACTTTGAAGTATTTTTGGATCCGTGGAAAAAAATATATATATTCTGTTGGGTTATTAGTGTTTTTAAAAGTCTGATATTAATCCGATGCTTAGGAGTTAAGGTGCTGTTTTTCAGACATATCCAAGTTCTTCATAAATTCATGAGCAATTATCTCTGTTTCTTGTAACAGGGCACATCAGTTCTTTCTCTCTCAGAACTGTCCAAGACTCCCCTCCAAAATGGCCTTTCCACTCCTCCACTTCCCTCATCAGAGGCTTCCAGTACCCGGCTCTCTCCTCCCAATGTTTCTGCTCTCTTGGATATCTCTCTGCCTGGACCACCTGAAGATGTGCTTTCTCAAGGAGAACCTGCCACTCAAATCAGTGATTCTATCATTGAAATAGCTATCAGCTCTGGGCAATACAGTAAGTCTGAGCTTAGCTGAAGTCTTCCTGTTAACTTAAAAGAAAATCCTTGTCATGGTACATATCAGCAGAAAATTTGGGAAAGCAGTTTTTTGATTTTTTTAAAATATATCTGTTGGAAATATGACTGTGGCTGGCCTGTCTTTTCTAATGTATTTGGGTTTTTTTGGTTTGTGGTTTTTTTTTGTTTTTTTTTTTTTTGAACATAAATTGATGCAGTGTCCTGTAACTTAACCTCATTGACTGAACCAGTGATTCCTGATGTTGGCTTACAGGTGAAGGTGTTTCTCTCTCTCCTGCAAAGCTGAATGGTAGTGACAGCTCCAAAAGTCTTCCGTCCCCATCCAGTAGTCCTCAACAGAACTGGATTGCCTCTCCCAGCCATGATCCCCAGTGGTACCCCAATGACTCCACAGACTCGTCTCTCAGCAGCTTGTTTTGTAAGTGCTGGTACATAGGGAAATGAAAAAGAAGCATAATTAGAACTGATTCCTTTAGAAAATAGTCAAGTTAGTAGGACATTTGTGGAATTTTTGCTTTACTACTTGTTAGTATGGCATTGCCTTTGAGTGCATTTTCCTTCTCTTCATAAATCTGTTCCTGAAAAGATCCTGTTGCTAAACTAAAGCAAGAGCCCTTACCTTGCAGTAAATAATGCTTTGGTGGTACTTCGTACTCTGCTTGGAGCCTGACTCATCATCTAAGTTGAGATATTTTGGCTGTTCTGCCAAAATGAAAAGATGCCCTTGGCTCTGCTCTTGGAAATTTGCTGTGTTTGGTGAGCCTAATCTCAGAGATGAGATCATTGAGTTTATTTTTTGGGTTGTTGTTTTGTTTAGTTTTGTTTGTTTCTTTGGTTGGTTTTTGAGCTAACACTTAATGAGGCAAGTGTAATGAGTCTGTACTCTTAGCAATCTGCTGATGGTGTTCATACTGGCAACATGTAAATTTTAGGAGATAGAAGAAATGGGTAGTCATCCTTCATTTGCAGTTTCCTTGTTCTTCTATTTGTCCTCCCATTTGCAAACTTTCAGTGCAGTGACTTACTGATGTGCCTGTTCTTTATAGCAAGTTTCATCTCCCCTGAAAAGGGACGAAAAATGTTGCCAACTCCTGTTGGGACTGCCAGTGGCACCTCCTTACTGGGACCTAGCCTTCTGGATGGAAACTCCCGGGACTCTTTTGTATCACGATCTCTGGCAGATGTAGCAGAGGTATGTCATCGAATTACATTTGGATGGTTTTGTTTCCTTTTTTAGTGCAGTGTTACTGCATATTACCCATCATACCTTCCCAAGATACTTACGGCAAAGGTATTTTGACATCTGCACTGTAGCTTAACAAAGTTATAGTCTTAACTGAAAGATGCAAAACGATCTGAGGGTGTACTACACCAGGGCTGGTGCATGAAACTGTTGTGAGCACCTTTGACCCAGGCTCTTTTTGCTGGAGGAGGTTGTATTTGCCTTGTTGGACATATTTTTGTTTTGACAGAGTTTTTATCTTTCTATGTTGTGTGTTCTACTTTGTTCAGCAAGCTGAATGTGAGCCAAGATGTGCTGTGGCGGCAGACAGCAATGTTTTGGGCTGTCTTAGCCTAAGTATAGCTAGTAGATTGAAGAAAAACGATCATCTGACTCTACCGAATTGCTGTGAGACCATATCTAGAATATTGTGAACCAGTTTTGAGCCCCTGATATGGGAAAAGACGTAGATAAACTGGATCAAGATAAGCGGAGGGCCATCAGGGTCATGAACGGGCTGAAGCCTCTATCTGTGAGGAGCGGCTGATGGTACTCGGCTGCTTCAACCTGAAGAAGGTTTCAGGGTGTGGGGGACTCAATAGCTTCCTTCATGTACTTGTGGGAAGTCATCAAGAAAATATAGTCAGGGCCTTCACAGTAACAAAGGAACAGTAGCAGAAACAGGCAAAAACTGAACCGAGAGGTTCTGATGACAGAGCCTGGAAAGGAAAACCTCTTCACCTTGAGGGGAAACGGGTGGTGAAGCAGGTTGCCCAGAGAGGTTGTGCAGTCTCCATCTTAAGAACTTTTCAAGACTAGTGGAGGTAAAGCCCGAGGAAGCTGGTCTGTCTTCTTGGTATAAATTCAGACATTCTGCTAACTTGTGAGAAGCTGTTGAGTGGCATGCACACGTTTGTGTGTGTGTTCGTGCAGGGCATGTATGATGATCTGTGTGTGTGGGCTTGAAGTGACCCTGCAGCCCCTGATCTAACAAACGGCCTTCAGAGAAAAATGGGTTCAGCTGCAATTTTAAGCACACCAGAGCAGCTGTAGTGTTTTGTTGTTGTTGTGGCAGATGTGGGTTTGCGTTAGGTGTATTCAGAGTATCCTTTTAAAATAGCTTTAATGATGGGAGAAATTTGAAAGGCATTTTATTAAATGTCCTGCAGAGTCAAGCTTTATTTACAAATGCAGGTATTGCGTAGAATGTAATGTCTATAAAGTTTTTGCATAACAACTAGTGTACTTTAATGCTGAATTAAGGATGTTTAGGTAAGGTCCATTCAGATTTATTTATTTATTTATTTATTTATGTATTTTTTTGAGAGGCTTCCATTTAGCCACAGGTAAGAGCTATTCTCTTACTCAGATCAAGTGAGATAAAGTGCTCCCTTCATATGAGGAGGCTGGGAATGAAGGACGAGAGGTGGCAGGCAAAAATTGAAACACATGAAATTCTATTTCATGAAATTCTATTTCATGTGTTTCTAGGAACTTTTTTATTGTGTGGGTGATTAAGCACTGCAACAGGTTGCCCAGAGAGGTTGTGGAGTCTCCATCTGTGGAGATGCTCAGAAACCAACTGGACAACAAGGCAACCTATTCTTGTTGACCTTGATGAGCCGGAGGGTTGGACAAGATGATCACAAAACCCCCCTTACAACTCAAACAACTCTGAAATTTCCACTGACGTGTAGCACTTTTTTTCTGTCATCTCTCTTCTAGGTGGTGGATTCCCAGCTGGCTTGCATGATGAATGAGAACAGCATAGATTACATATCTCGTTTTAATGACCTTGCCCAGGAACTGTCGATACCTGAGCCAACCCGCAGGGAAATTCTGTTTGATGGAGGAGGTGGTGGGCCCCCCATTGGGGATCTCTCACAGTGAGTGGTTGATACCAGCAGGCTGGTGTAGACTGTTTAGCTTAATTTGGAGCTTGCAGTGCTGGTTCATGGCAAGGGCCGATTGCAGAGAAGCAGCTGAGGCTCAGTTGTCCCTGTCTTGTGCACTTCTTTCTAAAAGAGAAGCGTTGTCTTCAAGGTCTGAAGAAGTACTTGCAGGTCCTGGAATGTGCAATATACCGGGAACAACAAAACATGGAGTATTATTATAGGAATGGTGCGTCCCCTGCATCAGTGATGTAAGATGGCAAGCTTACAGGACAGTCCTGAACTTGTACTTTGGAACGGCCTAGGCAAGAAGCTCAAGCAGGTATTGCCAGAAGCTCCCCTACATGAGTTGTTTTTGCAAAGTACTCGAAATGCCATGATTTGGAATCCACATTGAAGTTGTGGAGGATGAAGGGTGCGGGTAGGTATGGAAACTGTTTTGCATCTTGACATGTCCTAGTTGGCACTCTTTTTATGAAATCAGTCAAACTGAAGTTTGTTGCACTCTCTTCAAAGACGCTGCAACTCTGTGATGCTTCATTTCTATAGACCATTCTGTTTCTTTGGCTATGGTTTGTTTGACCGTTCCAGCAGGGGCATATACCTGCTTTTTTGTTTTGTAGGAGAGCTCTGCTTCACCCTACTCCCAGATTGTGTGGATCCGTAGGGAGTGTCCTCTATTTTTAAACCCCATCAACTGTCACAATCATCCTTCTGACTGCACTCGTATTTTCCACCTTTGAGATTCTTCACCACATTGCACAGTTCATTCCATGAGCGGGAGAGTGCTCTCCTGCGTTCCCTGAAGAATGGTTGCTTTTCAAGTCAGGAGAAACTGCAAAACAACTTATTGGAATCACTATGAAAGCTTTATCATTAGTAGTCTTGGCTGTGCTGGAAACCTGTATATATTGCCATCTTTCTCAAAAAAACAAAACACAATACCTGAGAATTTTCCCAGGAGAGGAAATAGGAAAAAAAATATTGTAATCTATAGATACAAATAATATTTTAATGCTAAAGTTGTTGAAATCTGTCTATCTGTCTTGTGTCATGAAGAGGAGGGGTGTCAAGTCCTTGTTTAACCCCTTGGTCCGTCCTTGTTTCCTCCTTGTTCTATGAATTCCAGGTACTCTGTAGTACCTCAGGGCATCGTTTTTCACTATAGTCACTCCCAGGCACTAATGGATCTGGTTCCCCCTCTGCTAAATCCCTATGCATTTAATGGTAGTGTTTTAATATCTGAAAGACACAGATCTGATTCCAGTTGTTTGAAAGGAATCTAAAATCACAGCTGGTTTTCCTTCAGTTCTGCCTTTATGACTCAGGAGACTTTTCCTATTTCCTTTCCTACCAGTCCTGAGAGAGAATACCTTTACTGTGCCCCTTTTTTTAAGCACTTGTCTGCTTCTCCATTGAGAGGATGTCCCTTGGCTCTTTTAAGTTGCTCTGAACTTATCCTCCAAGGGCATAGCCCTGTATAAACCTCAACTTTATATTATTAATAAATAATAAAACTCCATCTCTATTATCAGGGGTTCATTTTCCCAACTTGCACTATACTTGGTGGATGGAATTCTGCCTGCCTTTAGATGCTTTTACAAGGCATTTGACTGGGAGTTTCTGCTTGTAACCTTGCTCATGATGCACTGATTGGATTTGCTGTTTTCCCAGTCACTTTACCCTGCTTAGGAAGATTTTGTTTTACTGCTACATGGTTTGCCTTATGCTCTTTGTCATTTAAAGAAAATGTCACAAGTTTTCTGATGCACCTTTTGTGTGGCCCAGAGCAACTTCACTAATGTCAATCAAGAAGTACTGAGATTTGTATGACATTCCAGGACCCCACGTAAAAGGTTGCTACGTTCTCTGATATAGGAACCACAGACCTATGTAAAACAGCATTAGTATGAACAGCTGTTCCCAACTGGGAGTCAGGCTTTTAGTACTAGCAAGAAGACAGTCATGACTAGAAAAACAGAGTTTTGTACCTGTGGGCTAACTTTCTATTCTGTCCATGTCACATGGGATGTTAAGTCCTTTGGTCATTATTTCTCTTTCGTTATCCTTACAGAGTGTTGTTTGGTGATGCAGTTATCAGGAAATCATGTTAACGTGGAACATAAAAAGTTGAATGATGTCAGAAGAATGAATGCTGAGGAGTATGTGATTCTGAGCATTCACCCTTGGTGTGGAGAGGATGTCCATTAATCTCGAGAGTCACTCACCCTAAAACTTCCCAGTTTTACATGTTTTGATTCAGCCTTTCCCAGAGTGTCTCCTATCAGTTTTGGCTTCTTACATAAGTAATGCTGGTTATCCTATATGCTGTACCTCCGAATCCTTCAGACTTGCAGGACAGAAGTAGAGGACTCCTCATGTAGCTGTGGCTATGGATTACAGGACATGCAGGAGGGTGTGATGTATTCTAGTATGAAGTACTGTATTATAAACAAAAAATCTGAGCTCATTCTTAAACTTTAAAATACTGAAAGACCAGCTTGATGGTCTCTGATGTATTTAGGTAGCTTGACAAATATTTCTACCCATGACAGCAGTTAAGTGGATGCCACACTAATTTTGACTTTTAGATTGCCTGCAGTAAGTTCCGGTGTTGCTGCACCATATGGCAGAGCATTTCATCAAGGTCTGTGAAGAGTTTCTGCCATCCGATACAGGGAGCTGTCAGGTTGCCCCTTCTCAGCCCATTCAGTGGCCAGAGGGGAATAATAATAATGCAGAATGAATGTCAGCATAGTGGCTGTTCTTACTGATGCCACGAGATCAAAAAATTTTAATATGCTGAACCATTGCAAGTAGACTTGGGACCACCAAGTAATAACAGTGGAAATGACAGAAGTCAGTTCAGCATCAATGCTGTGATTAGAAACGTGTTTAGCATCAGCCTCTTAAAAGTTCTGATTATGAAGCAGTTTGACATCTTTTCTTGCACCAAATTCTCTTAGTGTGGTCCTGTCTTTTGAGACTTGAAGCTCCGAAACAGTCCTGCCTTCCATATTTGGTTTCTGATTCCAGAAGTGAAATGTTCTGCAAACTGCATTTTCAGGACAAGGAGGTTTTATCAGGGAAAAACTTGAAAATAACTTAGATCGTTGTGATAACTTTGAATTGATGCAGAATTTGTTACCCTTACTACATGAAAACTCACTTAAACACACATCTAACTCCACCAGTACGAGATTCTCTGTGGATGTGCTTTACATACTTATTGTTAACAATTTGTGCCTAGGACTGCTAAGGGAAAAATGGGTGGGTGGATGTGTGTACGGACATCTGTTTGTGCATGCGTATACACCCACACACGTATATTGGGAAAACCCAAAATTTGTTTCAAGTTTAATTTTTTCAGCTTCCCCAGCAGAAGTAAGAGGATTCATGTTTGTAACGTCAGCTTATCCTAAGCAAACATTCAAGCAAGCTACACTGAAATTTGGGCAGTTGTTTTTTTGTTGTTTTTTTTTTAAAGTTAAGTGTAACTTTGGTAGCTTAATAGCTGCCTGAGACACTGTAAGGAAGTTGGAGAGGACAAATGGACACTAAGAACCTCCAGTTCTAGTATTATTTGCTCTAAGGCTTTAGTTTCTGCTGGTTTTATTTGTAAGCTTCTGAATGGCTTGCCCCATGTTGGTTTAGCAGCTGTGTGTACAATAAGGAAGTTCGGAGTAGTTCAGCAAGGTGAGTGGCAGAAAATTCAGTATTTGTTGTCATAATAGTCTGGGTGAAAAGCAGTACTACATCCTAAGAATTAGATCTACCTGTGTGCACATTAATAGTGGGTTTTCTTCTGGGGGTTGCATCCTGATTAGCCACACAATTCATTTTATCCTTTATCACTAAATCTATTAAGCATAGGAATGATGATTGTTTTTAATATGGCATTGCTAAGCCTTTCCTTGACACCCTTCTTTATGTTTCTAAATTGAATTAAATAGCTTGGATGAAATCTACACTTATAAAAACATCTAATTTACTGACTCCACAGGTCCCAGAGTGGAAATTAAGTTGCATTTTGTTCTTTACACTCAGACTTTGGATGAATTTATGAGAAAAGTACTGCACTTTTTTGTTGTTGGTTTTTTTTTTTTTAAAGAAAAAAAAAACTTTTCAAACCTTTGAATCTCTTAATTTGACAGCAATTTGTAAATGTTAACTAAGTGAAACCTTGGCAAGCACTACGGCAATAAGTTATCATTAATTATTGAAACATGATAACTGCTTTAGAGCTTATGGTTCTGGCAGCAAAATTTAATGCTGTTTCTTTTAATAATAGTTAAGCCATATCATCTAAGGTTTCTGGCTTGTTTGAGATGTGAATTTGTTTTATAGATTATAAATATACCTATATAGTGTATGTATAAAGCAGAATGCCTGTCCTTACTGATTATTTTTTGTACCATATTGTAAATTATATTATTTATTCTTTACCAATTTTGGAAAAAGGTGTTTTGGTTATTTAATATAATATACAAAAGCTGTTAAACTTCCTCTGTTTAAATTTCCAATTCAACTTGTAAAGCTGTTTTTATTCTTGTGCATAAATACATACTAATACTTGGTCTAACTCATGTCCAGTGTGTTATTTGCAGTTCATATCTTATCAAATCTTCCATTTAATTTCCATTTACGTAGTAATGACCCCATTAGAATCCTGGGGATAAAAGTGTGTCCATAATGCTGAGTTTTTCAAGGTGAAATTCTGGTTCCATTGAACTCAATGCCATAATTTCCATCATCTCCCATCCCCAAATTGTCATGATTTTCACTGGGGTGAGAGAAAGTTTTGATTTTGGGGTTGTGTAGTTCTTTTTTATGCCTTCCAGCTTCCGTTCCCCATAGCATCCCCTAACTGTGAACACAATGAGTCAAAGCAGAGGGCTCTCCGTCCTGAATCTCCTATGTTTGACAGTGGTCACCAATAACAAGCGGGGAAAAAAAGCAAAAGGAGCTGCATATCGTCCTGATTTCCCCCTATCCACACAGCCACACCCCAGCACATCATCATGACTGAGGATAAGCAGGAGCTTAGCTGCAATAACAACTTTATGCCATTGTGTTTGTATAATCTCTACAGCAAGAAGTTTCCACCCTGAGGCCAGGCAGGCAGGGGAACAGCCTGCCCGGAGAGGTGTGCGCAGTGTCTGTTCAGAGCTCTTCAAGACAAGTGAATGCAGCCCTGAGGAAACGGCCTGATGGCAGAGCTCCCTCAGCCTGCTTGGGGACGATGGTTGGATTAGCAACCTCCTGCAGTTCCTTTCAACCTGAATTATCCTGAATTGTGTTACTAATTGATCTGATTCTTTCTTTTGTGCGTGTTTCAGCATTTGGTCTGCAACATCCAAGGGCAGCTTTAGGTAATTGTGCATTGATTAAGCACGGAATTGCTGATCGGTCGAGGGAGGTGATTGTCCCGCTCTGCTCTGTGCTGGTGCGGCCTCACCTCAAGCACTGTGCAGTTCTGGGCACCACAGCACAAAAAGGACTTTGAACTGTTGGAGAGCGTCCAGAGGAGGGTGATGAAGATGGTGAAGGGCCTAGAGGGGAAGATGGATGAGGAGCGGCTGAGGGCACTGGGCCTGTTCAGCCTGGAGAAGAGGAGGCTGAGGGGGGACCTCACGGTGACCTACAGCTTCCTCATGAGGGGCAGTGGAGGGGCAGGCGCCGATCTGTTCTCTGTAATCACCAGTGATAGGACCCGAGGCAATGGTGTCAGGCTGAGGCAGGGAGGTTCAGGCTGGCCATCAGGAGGGGGTTCCTCACCGAGAGATGGTCACACACTGGAACAGGCTCCCCAGGGCCGCAGTCACGGCACTGTTGGGACCGTGCTCCCAGTCCCACGGCCTGAATTTTGGGCAGAGCTGTGAGGTGCCGGGAGCTGGACTCGGTGCTCCCTGTGGGTCCCTCCCCGATTCCCGGGGGGAAGGACCTGACCCCCCCCCCCCAGCAGCTCCCCCCTCACGCGCCCCGGGCACGGGGACCCCGCGGCCCCGCCACGCGCAGCAGCCGCGCCCAGGGCCGGCCGCCGCCCTCCGCCCTTTTAAGCCTCCTCCCCCCGCTCTGCCCGCCCTTCCTTCCTCCCAGCCAATCCCTCTGCCGCTTCCCCTTGACGGACGTGCAGCGCCTCCAATGGGAGCAAAGCCAGGACGAGCGCCGGCGCGGGGCCTTTTCAATCTTCCCTCCCGCCGCGAGGCTGACCGGACAGGCGGGACCCCGAGGGGGCGAGCCGCATCCGATAGGCGGATCCGCGTGATGGGCAGCCGCAGCAACCAATGGCAGGGCGGGGAGGGGGCGGGGGCGGGGCGGCCGGCTCTACCTGCTCCCCGGTGAGGCGCGGCGCAGCGCTGCGAGCCCGGCTGCTGCCATGTTCCAGGGCCCCGAGACCGACGCTGCCAAACCCAGCTCCAGGTGGGGCGGCGGAGAGGGGGGAGCCGGCAGGGGCCGGGCGGAGGAGGGGGGTCCCCGGCGGGGCTTTGTTCGGGGCCGGGAGGGGCTGGGGGCGGCCTGAGGCGCGGCGCTGAGGGCGGGGGGGGCCCCGCCGGGCCTCGCCTCACGGGGGGCGGCCGGGCTGCAGCGGGGCCCGGCCCCGGCCGTGAGGAGGGAGCTGGGCGGGCCCCGGGCGCTCTCACCGGGTCCGGCACCGACCCGCGGAAGCGGCTTAAAAATCGCCTTCCCCTGGCGGGGCCGCCGGGTGAGGCCGCGGGGCTGGGGCGGTTAAAGCCGGCCGGGGGAAGGAAGCGGCCGGCAGCCGGGGGGGGTTTGGGTTCGCCTTTGTTCTGCTGTTAAGCCGTGGCAGGGCTTTAAGGGGGGTTTTCTTCCCAAAGCACGCTCTGCTCGTTCCTCAAACGGAGAGCTGGTGGTGTTCGGCCATCCAGGGCAGTGCACGGTGATGTAGCGAGCACTGCTGGCCCGCTGCTGTTGGCTGCAAGAAACTGCCTGGTTTGATTGCTGTTAAACCTTCATAATAAAGTTTTGTATTCTTTAAAAGTCTTGCGATTCCAAAATAAAACCAAATTGCATGTTTAAGGGTTGTTGCTTTGAGGACAAAGCAGGGCAGATTGCTCTCACCATCCTGCTGATGTAGGCTATACAAATGCCTTGATCTTGTGTACCCTCGATTTATCGAGTGTACGAGCAGTTTCACAGCTACTCTGTGGAGCTGAAAACATTAAATGTTGTCATAACTGGTAGCCGCTTCGGAAATACAACAGTATAACACGCGTCTCCCCATCAGTGCTATTGCAAAATACTGCAGGGCTTTCAGCTCAGTAGGAGGACTGACTGAACAAAGCTTGCTGCTTGCTTATGAGATGAGGGAGGTATTTAATCAGCAGGGAATTTGTACTGATCTAAAAGCAGAAGCTGGCCTGCAACTTTTGGGGCTCTGTTGGCGTTCCAAACCTCAGTGCCTGCTTTCTGGTTGCCCTTCTGCTGGTTAGCCCTGCGAGGGTCTCTGATGCACAAAGCAACTGTCCTCTTCCACCTTCGTTAGAGCTCTCCGAAAGGCAGGAATTCATTGTTCTGCTTTCAGTTGTATATAATTGTAGATCGATCTTTTATATAGAAATATTTATTTAGTCAGTGTCTTGAAGTAATGGTTGAGTCTTGGCACCCCTGCCAGAGGTTGCCAGAGAGGTTTAATTAGGGAAGAAAATTCAAATTCAGGGGTGTTTGAGTGTAGCAAAAAAGACCACAAAACCTAATTAAAATTCTTCAAGCCTGCCAGGAGAGAACAAAGCAATTTGTAGAGGCTTCTAAACTTACAGGGTAGGTTCCTAATTTAGCTGTTTGAGATGAATTGACAGTTCTGGTCTGTTGGGTGGGAAGGGGCAGATTTAAATTGCGCAGAATAAGTTTTATTATTACTGTTTAAAAGAGAAGAGAAAAAAACGCCACAGCTTCTTGTCTGCTCCTCTACCCCTGAAAGAGAAAAGATCCAAATTCTCTAGCTGTGAGGCACAAAAAGTATTGCTGTATAAACTGGTATAGAAATATAAACTAAAATGACTATAAAGTGTATGTTGGATTTGTCTGCTTGAGAGAGTCCAGCGCCGAGCCACGAGGATGATTAAGGGAGTGGAGCACCTCCCTGGATCGCTCCTCCCTGGGTCTGTTCAACTTGGAGAAGAGGAGACCGAGGGGAGACCTCGTTAATGTTTATAAATATGTAAAGGGCAAGTGTCAGGAGGACGGAGCCAGGCTCGTCTCAGTGGCATCTAATGATAGGACACGGGGCAGTGGGTGCAAGCTGGAACGTGGGAGGTTCCGCTTAAATATGGGAAGAAACTTCTTCATGGTGAGGGTGACAGAGCACTGGAGCAGGCCCAGGGGGTTGTGAAGTCTCCTTTTTGGGAGACATTCAAAACCTGCCTGGATGTGTTCCTGTGGGACCTGACTGTCTCACTCTGATCTAGAAGCAAGTGGAACTTGGAAGTATGAGGAGGCCAGCGCTGCCCTAGAGCCTGTGCAGAAACAAAACAACTTCATTTTCTCCTGGTTTCTGGCTAAAGTGGAGAGTGCAAAACCCTGTCACGTCTGTGAAACCAGAAGTGGGAAGAGTTTGTTGCTATACTTCTAGGTTATTTTTGGCAGTTCCTGTGAATGTCTTGGCATTATTTAGAGTTCTATGGACTTGGTGTTGCTGTTGCCTGAATGTTTATTTTGTTATGGAATAATTGGAAGGACGCTAGTAATTGGAAGCTTTAGAAATCAAGGAGGGAAATCCACTTAATGGCTGTGGGGTTCCAACATTTTTTCTGGGTGATGCTAGGAGAAAGGGACGCTGCTTGTGCTGACTTGAAAGGGCCTCGTGAGCACCTCAAACAATTCCTCCAGCTTGCTCGTTGCAGGAGTAGGGTTTTTTAGGATGTATGCTGTGTGTGATAAAAATAGGAGGACAACATAAGACTAACACTTGGTTTTTGATTTATTTTCATGTTTTATTAAGTTTGCTAATAGAATAATCAAGACTTGGAAACAATTATAAGTTATAATTGTTCCCATTGTATTAGAGGAAAGGTGAGCTTAGGTTCCAGATCAGGTTTTCAGGTTAGAAGAGGTGTAATTCAGCTACTGTATTGCTCAGCTGCTAAGATTTCAGGTAACTGGTCAGGTAGCTACGACTGTGAAGGTTGTTTTTGATACCTACACGTTCATTGCTTTGCCATGCTTTTTCTGTGAGTTCTCCAATTAATTCTATTTACACTACTCTCTGGTAATGGTTCAATTCCTTTTCAGGAGAGGATTTAAGTCTGTTAACAAGGCATAGGTATTGACTGGAGACTTACTTGATGGCAAGTGTGACTTTTAGTAGGTTTTCAAGAAGTTGGTCTAATTCTGTTGTAATCTCCAGTTTTTAATAGGATCTGTTTGACATACGTGTGGTACAGAGCTCTAATCTTAATGGTTGTGCATCTTGGCAACTAAAAATTCAGCTTCTCATGCTTTGATTTCCATTCTAAACTCTCCAGCATCTGGTATGATAACAGATAGTTGAAACTAGCAAATATTTAGTAGCTAGGAAATACCTGATTTTATTTAAAAGTTGATATGTTTGACTTATGTCAG